TCTGGCTTGTGGCAACACATATAGAGTTTACTTTTAAAATTGTGGCATTTACACAAAGAGGTAGACAGAGAGACAGGAAAATATATAGAAAGAATGTATAGGCTGTTACAAAAGTACGACAATCATTTGGTTTTTTTTTTCTTTTTATGTAAAATTCTTACACATGCGCCCGACAAATGGATAGGGGCTACTTAAATGATTTACTTATAGACAGACATAATAAAAGATGGGACTGTTATGAACTTCTTCTTTCTCTGCAGTGACCGTAAAAAGAGTGGAATAAACATTTAGTAGAAAATACTGTGTGAGAAATTAAATAATATGAAGCGATACTAACGTATTTTTTTACAATGTAAGATACCTGGAACAAATGATGCGCAAAGTAAGAAAAGAAACGAAACAATTATTAGACGCAAATTCTGAAGATTATGTTTAACTTCATGATTATGTAGTACCTATATAATACTATTAATCAATGGCATGAAAATTGAACTGGGAAGCTGAACAATTTCTAATAAACCTTGGAACATATCGAGATAAGATCAACACACTTTAGTATGTGAGTTTCGTTTTCCAGCACAAATGTGTTTTACGTTTTTAATTTTCTTACAAGAAACTAAATATACAACAACTCCTTTCACTTCGATGATCAAAATACAAAAATTGCATTTTCAATAAATAATACTTATGTCCAAACTTCATTAAAACGAAATTTAATGTGTCGTGAAAAGTTCACAACAAGTCTTTGATCCATTTCTTTTTAAATATGTATTTTAATAGCTAACAAATAATGATTTTAGAAATAGACTTCAAGCAAAATATATATCAGAAACATCATTCAGTGACACCTGATAGCTGCCATTTAGCGATTTGAAAAAAACGTTTCTTTTTAAACATTATCTGTTATTGTCCATTATTTCATCGGCTCAGAGCTCTTCTAAATACTCCTTTACGAGTATTAAGTCAACCGCTTCTAAGGAGTCATTCTTAACACCCAAACAAAATAGCCAACCAAAAGCGCTCTCTAAATTTCTTAATAAACTTGGTCTGCAAATCGATAAAAGCAGTTTATGTGTAAGTTTATTTAAAAGATCCTGGTATCAGTAACCACACTTTAGATTTAGTACTAAGTTGACACTGCAAACAAAATGAAGTCAATAAATGATCAAGAAGATCAAAAAGAACTCTAATATATTCAATCTTATTAATCACTTTTTGCCGTTAACATATATAGAGTAATTAACAAATGGAAAAACGTTTCTTCCCTTCAATTCTACTGTCTCTATTATTCGTGTGATCGTTTTTTTTTTTTTTTTTTGAACAGTACTGGAAAACGTTAAGTCTGTTTTCGTTTGATTCCTTGAAATAATTTGATCTTGAATACATCAATAAATTGATTAGTTTATTTAAATCTAATTAGCACTCATCAATATTATTTCTCGTATTAAGACTGCACTTCAATTTCCATCCATTGAGTATACATAGCTCAGTTAATATCCATTTCTTGTACATGTATGATATATGATTGATCGTCAAAAATATGTATTTCAATGGCTTATATGTACTATATGTATGTATGTATGTATGAATGTGCTTATGTAGGCGTGTCTATATAACTTATAGCTTATGTACATGATTTTTCTACTGCAAATAATTTGGCCAAATTTGTCAATGAATTAAATAATAGCTTTATGTACATCAAGTATATAAGTATGTACGATTATAGGTGTGTCGTTGTTCAATAACGCAATTTCGGTACAATGCCAAATATTTCGAAAATACTAATTTGAAATTCTCAGCTAATGTATGGAGTACATGGAGTATGGCTGTATTTATTGTTAGTTATTCAATTGAGCTTGAGTGGCGTAGAGAGTACGAGTAGGTAGGCGTTGGCGTATCTGTATCTGTGATTTGTTAGAGTGACGAGCGAATGTCGATGAGTTTTAACTATTGCGTACTTAAATTGTATGTATCTTTAAAATGCAACCAGGATGGTTCATCATAATAATTTGTAATGAAAGTTTTCTGCATTAAATGTTACTTTGATTTAGATTATCAATTCAAAATTCTTTTTCTTTCTTTTTTTGTGTTTGATTAAAGCACGAATTCAAATTTTTCAAGCACTAATTTGAGCACTGAACCTTGAGTTTAAATAAAATATTTATATATATATATATTTATATAGAAGGGTATGTAAGTAATGTATAAATGCAAAGCAAACATCGAACATCATCATCATCAGCATCAACTTGTTATCTTTTGAGGGGGCCAGCACGCAGAGCTTCTGCATCGATTCGAGATAAAAGCAGACGCGTCTGTGTGTGGCCACCAGTGTGTGTTTATTGGGGTGTGTAGTGTGTCTCTCAGTGTGTGTGGGTGTGTGTGTGTGTGTGTGTGGTTGGGCGTTTGGGTCATTGTGTAAGTGTGTGGGTGTGTGTGTGTGTGTATGGGTGTGCGGGCATGCATGTACTTGATTAGTTCCGTAGTACGAGTACATGCAGAGCCTGCACTTTCTGCTTGACTTGTCTTTGTTGCGATTAGATGTGTAAGTTAGTTAGTAATTGGTTAGTTAGTAGTGGTTGAGTAAATAGGCTGAGGTAATTGGTAGTAACACTTTGAGGTATCAGTTGAGGTGGTTTATCGCTATGCAAAATGTTTGCTTTGCCAAACTGTAAGAGAATACTTACACAGCATTCTCGGAACTGTTTGGCATCGATGGGCGACGTAAAATTCAAGCCCCAAGTGTCGTTCGTCATTGGATCCTTCCAGTAAACGAAACATTCCGATGCCTGACCAATACGAGTGCCTGCCAGGGATAACATAAATTTCAATTAGTAGAGTCAACACATCACTGCATGCAATAGATATACTTAAGCTATGTTCAGACTAGCACAAATGTTGTACAAAATTTCAAATAGAGGAGGAAATCCTATACAGGTTTTTTGCAGTAGAATTGTGAGTTTGTTAAAATATTTAATTATGCACAGCGCTTGTTGCTTTATATAAAAAAAATACGTTTAAACATCAATAAATAAATAATCTATCTTTTCATTGATATTTGTAATAATTTCAAATGCAATTTGAAGTGGACTAGCGGTCCAATATTGTTTTCTTTTAGAGCGAAACCTTTTACTGAGTCTTTGTAGATTCGGCAAACAAATGTCTACACAATTTGATGATTCGTTTTTTTTTTAATATCATAAACTAGAGACTATCAAGCTTTCAAGCATACTTAAATTTGTTCCTGCAAACGAAAAGCTTTAACTAATATTTTGCTTCTTTAGATCTTTTTTAAACTGTTTAATTTTTTTTAAAATCTCATTAACTATTTTTTTATTCTCATTATCATTATCTGAAAGCGTATAATTGGAATACGGATATTCCTAAATTTTTTTCTGCTACAGCTACAGCCAATATTTTGTTTCTTTAGAAATTTCTAAACACATTACATTTTTTTTTTATTTCACATTATCACTCTGAAAGCGTTTTATTCTTTCGAACATGGATCAATTTGTTCCTGCAAACGAAAAGCTTTAACCAATATTTTGCTTCTATAGAAATTTTCAAATATAATTTTTTTTTAAACTCATAAACTGTTTTTTTATTCACATTATCTCTCTGAAAACGTTTTATTTATTCAAACATGCCTTAATTTGTTTGCTTCTGTTTTTGTTTTGCTTCTTTATATGTAGAATACGGGTATAACTAAATTTTTTCTTGCAAACGAAAAGCTATAAACCATATTTTGTTTATTTTTCTTTCTTCTTTCTTTCTTTGTTTTTTACCTCAGTCTGAGCGTAGCTTTAGTTTGGCGACCAGTAGGGGGGCTTACTCACCTGGCTGCACAAGCCGCACATCGAGTATCTTGTCCACCTGACTGTTGTAAGCGGTGATGTGAAAGATGCACTCGGGCGAGTCCTGAATGCATGTGATGTTGACAGGAACCAAATCTTCAGACACTTGTTGCCACTTAACGGTGCCGGCGCCACTTGCCGATACGTGGAAGACCTCAGCCCATAACCTGAACGAACTAGCGTTGGTTAATTTTCAGACGCACACACACATTTATCACAAAGTTTCAAAGTTGAAAGTTGGTGTTGGTTTTTTACACAGATTTGTTTTTTTTTTTTTTTTTTTTTTTTTTTTTGTGGGGGTTGGATTGAAGCAGATTCGATTTGTTCCGATTGCGATATTCAAGTTTTTGATTCGATTGATTTATGGGTAGAGTGCAAATTTGTGGTTCGAAATTGAAAATAAAGAAGCGCATTTTATTGTTGCAGTTGGTTTGGTAATTGATTTGTTTGTGGATGGGTTGGACGGTAGATGGGAAAAAAGTTTAGCCAGTTTGCATTGTAGTTGTTGTTTTTCATGTTGTTATTGATTTGATTAGTGGCCACAGACAAGTGTCAATTTAGTTAGAAAGTGTAAGTTGTTCGGTTGTGGTTTGGTGATTTTTTGTTTGTTTGTTGGATGGGTGTTTATTGTTATTGGATTGTTGGATGCAAGTCAGGTATCATTTGTTTCAGATTCGTTATACATTTTCATGTTGTTTTGTTTTGTTTTTTTTTTTTAGTTTTTTAGTTGAAAGAAAGAAAAATTAGAAGAAGAACACAATTAGTTGATTGAAAATTTATAAAAGAGAGCGAATTCAAATTGTTCGTAACAGGTGCCCTTTTCAGTCAGAACATAAGATATTTTTTTTTAATAACTACAAGTCACTACAACAAATTGAAATAATGGGGCACTAAATCGCTTCAACCACTCACCTCAATAGATGGCCATCACGACGACGGGAACTCTGCCAGGGTGAATCCTCATAGCGATAGGCTTTGCGCATCAAAGGCGCGCACGAACAGCTCAGTTTGTTGCCCATTGCACAGTTTGCACAGCTTCCCGATGACCCTACGAATATGACCCATAAATTAATCAATTATCTCATCTGATAATGGGGGGAATTATATTTTACTGCGATACCCACCTTTACCTGAGGCACCCCGATGTCACCACATGCCGCTCACGTCTGCCTGCGAGAGCGCCTGGCCGCGATTTAGCGACTGAGAGCGTTGATTGTGCCGATGGCCGTGGTAGCGACTGCCGCGCTGCAAATATTCACAAAAAGAGAGCAAGAGAAAGAGAGAGAGAGATGAGAAATGGAGATCAGTGAATTGTTTTCATATAAAAGCAAGTCTTAGCTACTCATTTCTCATATTTATGCGAAATAATTAAGGCCTGACCCACACGAATTAGTCAGTGAAGGGGGCAGTTTGAGGGACTTACTAAAGATTTCCTGTCAGTGGTTGAAAGGAATATGAAAGATTTATTTAAAAATATCTCCGATTTGTATTTAGGTTTAAATACAGTTTATTAAACTTGTTAAGAAACATTTTTGATTTGCTTGATTATCCGTAGTGAACAGAAGTTAAGTTTATTTAATTTTTTGTTTGCTTTTAAAATATTTATAAACCCAATGGACCGAATTCTTACTATACCTACATATTAATAAATAAATTTCGTTGCCATCCATTTCTACTCTCAATTTAAAATGTAAACTCATCGCCAATAGTCAACAAAAATACTTTGAAAACTTAAATAGCTTATTACATTTTTAATCAGTTATTTGTAAAGATATTTCTGTTTTAGCTTTCTATTTTGTTGCTGCTCTAAATGCTTAGCCTAATGTTACTCCACTATATATCAGAAAACATTTCATTTTATTAGGGGTTTCAAAACTAATTTAGGAATGAGAACAATTGAAGAGCGAGTCCCCAACTTAATAAGCTTGCCAACTTATGTATAAATAACCAAGACCCACACATTAAATTCACAATTAAACTCAGCTATAAAAAACATTATGATTTACTTAGTAATGGTCCGAAGCCACTGTTCCAGAAATTAAAACAACTTTTAATAACTGATAATTTAAATCCTTAACTCGATAATTAAAACTACACGATTACGATTATTTAAAAATTTTGTATTGCTCAGAATCGTTCACTCATATGATTTATTTTTGATTGATAAATTGAAGGTCTATTAAAAAAAAAAACAGGATTGATTTAGGAGTGCCTACAGAGTCCATCTGCTGGATAATTTCAATACGATGTTCGATTTTAAATAAAAATAATTACATTACTGCAGAAGGGACTGCATTTCAAAAATCAAGATCTTGTGAAGGAAATTAAACAAAATAGAGCTCTTATGGCAAAACGAATATAAGCAAACTTTTTTCTGATTTAATGATGATAATTTCAAATAATATATTTTTGAGGATAAATAATATTAATTTTAGAAAATTTTCGTTTTGCGGCATTTCCTGCATTTATTGTTGTTTCATAATTGTGTAAAAATATAATAATAAAAGTAAGAATGACGTTTCTTTCAACTGTCTGGAGGGTTCTCAAGCAATTGGCTAAGCACATACTTTTTAAATGTTCAGGCGTTAAAATGAGTTCAACTAAGAAAATAAATTGGAATTGATGCTAACTCAAAAACGATGTCTTTTGAAAGCTTTTGTAATAGCGTTGTGTTCAGATATTTTAGTAAATAAATAAACCTACATTTAGCAGCAGACAACGAAATTAATATGAATTTTATTATCTTACTTAAATTAAAAAGTTGAAAATTCGTTGAAAACAATTTAATTCAGCTCTTATCTGTGTACCAGCTCTTCCTCTCTCTTTTTCTCTCTCTGTCTGCCTGCTCTCTGTGTCGTAAATCTTATGGCTTATGTTTATTGGATATGTTTACCTTTGCTATTATCTTAACGATTACTTGAAAACTACCTTGCCTAAGCAAGCCACACACGCATCTCATTGACAACCGGCTCTTGCAATGCTGGCCACCCACATTCAGTTTTTTTCTGGCGAAGTAGTGTGCTCGTACGGTTGAACTTGAGAGCCGCTGCAGCATTGAAACCGCATTTGAGCCACAATAACCGCCGCCTCTGGCACGAAACAACCCATGAAGCAACCCACGCTCTTGGCTATTATCACCGCCATTTGGCGTGGCTAAGGTGCGAATGCGAATGCAGCCGCTCGAGTTCAACGCTATCGACGGCCGAAATGCAACAACGACTCTAAGTATCTACATATATAGTACATATCACATTTGCATCTAACGATGATGATCATGATACTGATGACGATGATGATGATGTGTAGGTGTCAACAACAACAACCGGCACTGGCAACACCTCCAAGACTGAAGCGCGGGTATTACAAACGACAGCGGAAAAACTACTTTGAAGTTGCTGCTTTGATTTTGATTTTGATTTTGATTTAAAGCACATACATACATATACGAGTATGTTTGTATATTTAGAAGATTCTATATACTGCACATATGTGTTGCATTCGTTGCAAATGTGGCACACATCAAAAGTTTCGTTTCATTTTACGAGACCATTATTTATATGCGTTTAATTTTACATTTTTGTTTTATTTATTTTAGTACACATTATTAATGTTTTGTCTGCCCATATGTTGCGCACTTTCTGGTTTTCTCTCATGGGTAGTACATACATATATCTATTTTAGTTTAACAAAATTACCCAGGCAGGCAGATGGACAGACAGACACCTGTTTTTTTCTCGGCACGGAAATTTGATTTCAAAATTCAAACTATTCAGCAAACTATTCGCATTTTAAGAAAATAAATAAATAAATTTGTTTATGTTTTTGTTTTTCGATTGTTATACAAATAGCTCGTAAAGAATTCCGTTAAACTATCGTCCACAAGTTTCGAAATGCCAACAACATTTCAAATGAACGCCACAGAGTCAACTAAAAACTCAAATAGAAATACAAAAAAACAGAAAAAAAAATCAAAGACCATTTTTTTCATTCACAGAGACACGAAATTTTTACGTACTTCGCTCTCAAAATCAGACGCTGTGGCGGCGACGCCGACGTCGACGATTTTGTCTTCGCTGCTCTCTGACGAGACAAATTAAAGCCATGAAAATGTATGAAAATGTTATGCAGTGCCGCATCGAGAGCTCTAGACTCTAGAGCTATAGAGCTTCTCGCCCACATACGCACACCTCTCAGACGTGCAGCATTGACTGCGAGTCCGAGATCGGTGGCGTTGATATGAGAGGGCGCCCATCATCGAGACAACAACAACAACAACAACAATAATAACAATGGGAAATGCCAGGCCGCACGTGTTTTGTCAAATTTATTTTTAAAATCAATCAAAAAGCGGGAGCACCGATTAGATGCGTGCGGCGAGGACCGAACAACCAGAGGAGAGCCACTAGCTCCCCCTCACTCCTCTCCCCCCTTGACTTGTGCTCAACCAAAGGCGATAAGAAAGCGCCGGCACTTAAACTACTCGCTCGTAAATGGGTCAGGTTTTCGGATTTGTGCGCTACGTACGCGCGAGTGACAAATTGAAATATTCAGATTATTTGCTCTCTCTTTCCACAATAGGTAGATGGAACTCAATAATAATCACTAGACTTCCAAAAATGTATTCAAATGCATTTGTTTGGCATTTATTTTCATGGTTCAAGGGCAACAAATTATGGACAAATATTTCAAAAGCAAGAAACAGCATTTTAAAGACGTTTATTTAAATATATAGCGGAGCAGCATTGTAATAAATAAGCCTTTTATTTTCGTCTCTACAACCCTTTCAGATAGGATTATAAATTACCAAAAATAAATTTATTTCATCTTGCTAAACAGCCGAATTTGATTTGCTAAAAAAAATTTGAATAACAATTAATTAAATCACTTAAATCCTTACCGATGGAACTTTTTTAAACATATACCAAATATAATTTTAGATTATTAAGTTAACTTGAAAATTATATAGCTTTTAACATATTTGAAAAATTTGTTTATAGTTCAAGATGATAAGTCGAGCATATGTCTCTCTGTTTATTTCAATTACAACACACCTTCCCCTCGAATTAGAGGTATTTTGATTGAAACTGTCAGGAAACACAGACGGATAAGTCAAATATAGCTCACAGGCAAGTCCGATATATTCTAATGATCTTATAAGTCTATAAAAATATGCATTTCTTGCCACAAAGTCGACGATCACTTCCCATTATATTGAAAAATCTGCTAAATGTATAGAAAACTAAAAAGGTGCCACTATTTCTAAGCTGAAGATCATATTTTTTCTATTTAATAAAACTTACATATGTATTTAGGCAGCGAAAATGACATATAAGGACACAGGTAATAACTGATCTGGTGTAGGTCTTACGCTTTTCGGCCTTGAAAAAGGGCTTCAACTTTATTTGCATATTACTATTATTTTGAGTATTTTTATTAAAACATATAGAGCCCATATAATATTTAAGATTAAGAAAATATTTAGCTAAGCTTTCGTATTTTAATTTGTTTCAATGCTGCAAATTCAGATTTTTTAAAAACCTAAAAGGCAGAAACTATTTATGTAAAAAAAATTCATGATTTCCATGTGCAATAAGTTAGTAATGTTAATAAATGCTGATTAAGGTTATTTAATCTACAATAATTCCCTTCAATTTGCTCGAATCGAGTATAGTAATAAATCGATTTATAGCTGAAAATTGAGGATGTCTTTAATATTCAGCCTAAATATACGACGAGTTAAATGTTACTGACTTTGATTGAAAAACAATAAACATTTTGACAAACTAGGGCCAGTTCGATTGGCCCTAGCTTGAAAATTCGAATTTGTTAATAGATTTTTTTTTTTTTTTTTTTTTTTTTGGGTTGAGGAGGAGCAATGCTTTATGCATCTCGATCTGCTGTCGCAGAGAGGTATGTGGGACTCCCACTCACTAATATTTGTTAAAATTTGTTGATAGATTAAGATGATAATAATAATAATAACAATTGTTAGTGAATGCAGCCTAGAGTGATATTATTTTTGTAATTTTTAGTCGATTTTTCGGAAATCAGGATAGAAATCTTATCCAAATTTTATTTTGCTTAATACAAAAATTTAACTATGACAAGCAGTTGAACGTTCCTACGTTTTAACAATCATATATATAAAAATTTAAGTATTGTATGTATGTAAGCATGTTCCCTATAGACTCCTAAGCCGCTCAACAGGGTTTGCTCAAATTTTGTGGCAATATTGCGAAGTTTTGTGGCAATTGGATAAACAGAAATTTTTATTTTTTCTAATTTTTTAAGGATACTACATAAATATACATATGTGTGTTTGTCTACGCATAGTATTTAGTAATCAGTAGAGCCCTAGCTCTCGGAACGTACCAAAGTAATTTGAGGTAAGTAATTGGAAACTTTAAAGAGTGTCAGATGAGAAATAGCATACTCGTATTGTAAATAAACTTATTATTGTAAGAAAAAACACTTAGCCCCGCAAAGACGGTGCTCTATATGAAATTCCCTTTTATTATAGTTCATCAAGAGAATTTATATATTTTGGTACACACCTCCACATGACCCCAGCCATCGGCGCCCATTTTGGCGGCTGCCTCAACGCTTTCCTTCGCACCCATATTGCGGTTGAGCTTTTAAAGCAGCGACTTGTCAATGCTAATTTTTTCTCGGGATAGTTGAAGCGTCGTAGTCGATTTTTTTTTGGATTAATATTTATTGTAGTATTGCCGTTGTTTTTGCTTTTGAGCGTTTAGATTTGCACTTTAAAAATTTGATTGCACATAGATACACACAGGAGTTTTACTTCTTTGGAGAAGAATTGCACAGGAGTTGCAGGAACCAGAAGAGGAGTTGCCGATGTTGTGGCAGCGTCTGAGGCAGCAGTCGCAGCAGCTGTCAGATGTTATTTATTTTGGAGCTGATGTGTGCGATTTTGGGCCAAATGCGAGCCCGTCAGTCGGCCAGGGAGAGAGCAGAGTCGTTGATGTTGACGTCGCTGCTGCTTCTGTTGTGATGCGCGCGCTCTCTCACTCTCTCTCTCTCTCTCTCTCTCTTGCGCTCACGCTCTCCCTCTCTAACGCTCTCGATACTTGGTTGATGCTGTTGGATGCTGCCGTTGAAAGCGGCTTTCGAAGCGCCTTTCGTCAGGTTACAGTTGAAAGTCTTGACGTTGAAAGCAGTTAAATAATAGAACAGTCAAAGCCACGGCGCCTGCATGCGTTTGTTTGTGCGTGTGCGCCTCTATGTGTGTGTGTGTTTGTATGTTGTATTATTTATGCACTATAATAATCTAAAGCTTTTTGCCTACACAGCTATTTTCTTCTCATTTATTTAATTACGTGTATATGTAATATACGAGTATATCGCATCAGCTTTTGTCTGCTTCCTTCGCTTTTTTGATTTGAATTTTTCGGCTGCGGTTAACGGTGCGTATGATTTATTTCTTAATTACTCAGGTTTTGGCTTACATCGACTTGTTTTTTTTTTCGTTTTTTGTCGTGTATTAGAATTTGTTATGTGCTATGATTGCATTGAATTTAATTTGAGTTAATTTTATTTACTTAATTGATTTGCTGGCTTGCTGAAATTTTTGTTGTTGTGCTCGTGTGTGTTGATTTTAGTTGGCAACGCCTAGTGCCCAAAAAAAGGCAAGCAAATAATATTTGGAGTCGAGAAAACGTCGACGTTAAATTCCAAGTGCAAACTCTTTATTTAATTTAGTTAATTGATTATTTTGCGTGGTTTGACTATTTTAAAATTCCCAGTTGTGGAATTAATATTATTTGAAGCGCGAATTTTTCTTCTTTTTTTGTTCACTTTTGGCCACTGACAGACGACGAAGACATGGCGCTTGATATTTTTGTGTAGCTGCTGCCAAAATACCTACAAAACTTGACGAAACGCAATGTTTTCACTTGACGAAGAACTCACACACACACACACACACGCACACACACAGAGGCAGAAACATTGCGATGTGGAAATAGCGAGAGATGCTCGAATTACAGCGCTAGCCAAAAAAGTGCTTCGCTCTTGTTATGCTCCCAAACTAACTGCTCTTGTTGTCAATATTGTTGTTGCTGTTGTTGTTGTTGTTGTTGCTGTACAACAACATATATTTTAATTTCGATTTCTTTCTTGCTTTTTCGTCGTCTTGTCGTGTTGTCCGTTTGTCACTCGTCGTTTGCCGTCGTCGTTGTCGTTATCCTTTATTTTGTATAAGACCGTGTGTCCGTCGCTCTGTCTGTCTGTATTTGTATGTGTGTGTGTGTGTGCCGCAGCCTCCAACACGCTCCTGCTGCCGTTTAGGTATGTGCAGTCGTGTGTCTGTCTGTCTGCCTGTCTCGCTGCCTGTATGTTCGTGTGTGTGACTAAAAAGTTGCATAAATCACCACACCTTAATTTACTTAAATGTTGTTTTGCGCACTTTGCAGTATTATTTAAGTCATTTGCCAACGCTAGGCGATTTATCACGTTGTGCACAGCAAAAAGTCTACCCCAAAATGTATGCTACACAAATTTTTCGCTGCCCACATCGATTGCCAAAATGCGTGCCTCTTTGTGTGTGTTGTGCCTCGTGTGTATATCTGATATTCTTTGGTCAAATTACAGTTATTTGCGAATTTTATTGTTGTTCTATACGTGTGTGGTTCTTTAGTTTGGTGTGTGCGTGAGTATATATTTTTGTGTGTTGCTTTTTCAACACTGCTACTATATATATATGTATTTTTTTTTTTTTTTTTTGAAGCGTTTCACAAGCACCACAAGCAGCGCGAACCACAACCGTCGACTTCGAAAATCGTTTTGACTTTGCGAGCAGAGCCAGCGAATGGAGCCGCCACAGAGCATCACAGCGACAACATCTCAAAGCAGCGCTGTCAGCGTCGCAGTCAGCATCAGCCAGCATGTATATAGGTGTGTGAGTGTGAGTGTGTAAGTGTTGGTGCTGCATGCGCTCTGCAACTGTTGGAATGTGTGCCATATTTTTGGGGTGGTTGCCTTTTGTTGTGTTTGCCACACACGCACACAAACACCCACATTTGTACTTATAAATGAGACTTCGTGTTGTACGCACTTTGTAACATTATTTTACATGTCGTGTGTTGTGGTTGTTGTTGCTGCTGCCGCTGCTGCTGCTGCTGTTGCTGTTGCGACGACGTCAAATGAAAGTTTTAGCCATTTTGGTACGTTTTAATGTGTCCCCGCTGCATAAAAGAACAACACACATGTTTTCATGATGTGTCTATGTGTGTGTGCGTGTGTGTGTTTGTCTTTTGGTGCCTTAATGTAATATTAATGTTATAATTTTCTAGGTGCTCTTCTAACCCGCTGACTGTCTTTCTAGCTACTTGTGCCCTTCGAAGCATGCTACATGGTTTTGCATTAGCAATGCCATAAATAATGCAAACACACACACACACACACACACACAGACAAACAAACACACGCTCAGTGACCCAACATTAATGTATGAGCGGTATTCTTAGCTAAATTTTACGACTTGAGTTGCAACTTCAAATTAACCCACACACCCACACATGCAAGTTCAAATGAACAGATGATTGGGAAGCGAGCCATGCCCATGTTAGATATTCGGTGCCTTGCCCAACACTAACCAACACCCTCACGCACACTCAGAGCCTCACACACGTGCAGGCAGGCGCACGTTTAACATACACAAAGTAAAAGTGAAAAGCAACATCAAAATTAATAAGTAGAAAGGATGCTGAGTGCGGCTGCCAACGTCAGCGACGCCAGCGACGGCGACAGCGACGCCGACGTTAACAGCGACGCACACATATAGAACACTTAGTTAACAAAGTACCGCGTGCAATAGAGAGAGAGTGATAGAGGCAAAGAGAGCGAATAAGACAACAAGCAATGCTGAGAGAGTACGCGCTGCTATGTGCTGTGTGTGTGGGAGAGCTTTTTGCGTCGGCGCGCTTTCAATGTTGAACGAATTCTGAGACTTTCGTTGAGTTGCCACTGCCACTTACTTTGTAGGCTGCTGCAGCATCCCCAACATTGTGTTTGCATTTGTGTGTGTGTATTGTTGCTGTTGTTGTTGTTGTTGTAATTGCTGTTGCTGCATTATGGCCATATTTAATATTTAAGTAATACTTTGAGTGGCAATTATAAAAGTGCTAAAGCAGCTTCCTACGTCGACACCACATGGAAATTCAGGCGTTTAGAGATCGATGATAGTGCAGCTACAACAACAACAACAACAGCCACAACAATGGCAACTGCATGCAGCTGGGGAGCGGCCAACCAACAACGCATTGGCTAAAAACAAAAACGGGATGCGCCAATATTACTGACGTCAGACTTAAAGGCATACACTCACACACACACACACACTCATACACAGTCTGAGAGCGTCCGAACGCCCACGGACCAGCGAATGCGCCCAAAAACCACGCACGACAACGCCTGCCTCATTGCCTGCGTGCCGCCCTTTACGTCCGGCCGCCGTCTTCGTCGTCGTCGTCCTGCTTATCTCTTTAAAAACGTCATTAGAAATTGCAGCTTGCAGCGCGGCAACGACGATGGCAACATCGCTCGTGCGTCGTCAACAAAAAGGCGCGCCGCCAAAGGACAAAACTACAACAACAATCAACACATTCTGTCAGTTAAGCCACGGTCAGATAGACAAATAGTTTACACAAGAAATAGTATTAGTTTTTAGGCACGCTTTGAAAAGTAAATTCCACAGGTCTGTCCCCGCTTCCGAATTTTTCCAGTGATGTGGAATATAAATTACCAAATAAAGTATTCCACGTGAAATAAAGTCTCAAAACTAGCTTCAATTTAGAACCGAACTTTGCAAAACTGAAAGGAACACGAATTCAGCAACAGCTTCTTGATTGTGAGAAAATTGGAAAACTCTACAAATTTGCTCGGAAATTATTTGCCTGTCTGGACATAGCTTTAGTCGTTAGTCAGACGTTGACCAAAAAAGCTGAGCAGTCAGTCCTTGCTTGTTAGCTTGGTGTGTGCGTGTGTGTTGTAAAATGTCAAAGAGCAGCGGGCAGCCGCAGCTGTAGACGTGGATGTGGACGTCCATTTGGTTTGGATGCTGTTGCTTTTATTATTGTTTTTGTTCTTATTGTTGCTGTTGCAATAATTGCCTCTGTGTGTGTCGCTTTGTTGTTGCGTAAGGATTTTTTAGGGCAATTGGAGGGTGTGGTTCACTAGGGAGCAGTGTGCATGTGTGTATGCGTGCGTGTTGTACCGTTAGATGGCACAGCAGCACACGGGATTGCCATGCTTGACACAGTTTCGTCTTCGGCTTTGCGATTTTAACTCCACGCTGCGCAAACCTTCGACTGTTGTGCGCGAACTTTCCTACAAATGCGTTTTTATGAATGAAACACAGTAGAGGACAACGCAGCAGCACAACAACACCAACAACAACAACTGACGCAACCAATCTACAAGTGAGCTTTTGCATACGCCCAATAACAATGCGAATATGTTTACGAGTTACAGTTTATGGTAATTCTCACACTTTATAACCAACTTATAATGCACAAGATTTTTAAATAGCTGTTGAAACGAAACCGTTTCCCGTAAATAGACGCGACTTTTTATTTAAATGCGCGTATACTGCTCTAGAATATTGCTGGCAGCTACAGCACGCGAATCCGGCGCTGCCACCTGCCACGAAACAGTGACGTATGTCTTACTGAATGCAGCATTGTAGCAGAGGGAATACATCGCGGCGATAATTTCACATTTTGTGACTAACTGATTTTAAATTTAAGCATAAGCTGTATATGCCAATTATGCAAAATTTGATATCATGCGATTTAATTATTTTTATATTGAGCCTATTTGCTGTCTACGCTCTTCAGAAATAATAATTTATTATTCTCCTGCACTTTTCTAATAATTTAAATTTTAAGGGTGGCGAAATTAATAGTGATGTTTATAAGAACATTGGCAAACATCGATTCATAGCTCACGCCACTAACATGCGCTAGAGACAATACAGGGTGGCAGCCCTTGCTACTCATTTAAGCTAGGTGGCAGCCCGCGGATACAAACCAAAACAAGACGCGCAAAATCGAGCCTTGTATATTTAGTCGCGCAGTGTTTGCTGAATTGTGTTTAGTTTAGAAAAATTAGCAGAGGCAAACGATTTTGAATGAGATGGCTGAAGCAAATGCCCAAAACGGCGATGTGATGATGAACAACATGTGCAGCACACAAGTGGGCCCGGAGGCAAAAGGTGTGTAATTGTACCTTATTCAAGGATTCTAGTAGCACATACATACTTATGTTTGTACTATTTTGCATTCACGATGCACCTTCAACAAGTCATGCCATTTCTCTATGTGTAATTTATATGTACATTTTGTGAATACAAAATTTAAACAAATATCTGTAGTACGCAAAACTATTCCAAAGTAAATATTTACATAAATACATCGTGTTTTTTTGTTTCCCAGAATTTAATTTGTTGCGCGCAGACGAAGAGTACAGAAATGGAAATGTGGAGCATTCGATATACTATCAGGTGCGGGCGCAGTTCCACTGTTGGGACACTCGCTACCTGACCGAATGGGAAGATGTGGAGAACTGCCTGCCAAGTTGCAAAACAATTCTGAACGAATGCAGCGCCGCTGAGAAGGCAGCTTTCAAAAGGTAGGCATTAGAATAAACATACATTTTCCATGTTAACCTTATCTCTCTTTTCATGGGAATAGCAACAAGCCGCTGTTGAATATACTTAATTACTTAAAAAATTCCGAACTTAAGGAGGAAACACAAACCAAGCCTACTAAGGTCATGGAAAATTTGGACTTTCTCGAGAGCATTGTAGAGCCAGCCCTGGGTATTAAACGCATCATCGAGGTATGCAGCCAACTGCCCAACGAATGGTGTGTCTTGCAGCTCTGCAAGAGCTTCAACACAGCTACCACATACTCTGGTTTTGGGGAAATTTTTGGTGCAGATGGTGCCGTCTACTTGAGTTTATTGCGCCACTGTCGCAGTCCCGAACTGGGACCCGTATGTGTGCGCATCAACAACGAGAATCTAGCCGAGATATTCAGTTCCTATAGCACCATTGTGGAGCGTTTTAGGCGCATCATAAATGTTGATGTCAAAAAATATAAAAGCCAGGAGACCAAGGCCAAATACTGGCAAGACCTTAACGCCTTTGAGGAGTTCCTGCACAGCCTGTTGGAGAAACTGCGCAATTGCATGTTACCCTATGGGTTCCTATTCTTTGGCAAGCGCTACGACTGTGAGGCCGTCCAAACGCAGACTCTGGCTGTTATTCAAAGTGTTGATGCGTTGTGTGATAAGTACGGTTGGAGCATTCACCAACGCATCATCCTCTCGCAAGCAGCTATGCATGCCAACAACCTGAGCCAAGCCGAGATAAGCATGGCATGTTACGAGTTGGCTGCAAACAACGAACTAGAATGCCAATCCATATACAATTTGCTAAAAACGTGTGCCAAAGACTGGCAAAGGATTGAACGACAGCAACCACTTAGCAGTAGGCGCTTCCCCACCATAATGGTGGTCGACGAAGTAAGTAGCTGCCGGTCTGCTTAAAATTTGAATAACCAAGAATATACTTATACAGCGTCTAGATCATATTCACTGGGAGCAGCTGAAACCGACACAGGAATTCACGCGCATTAAGTCGCTGCACAGTCTCTGGCGGCTGTACAAGTTCCATAAGCCAAGCATACGGCATGGCTATCTTGTCGTCAACGTGCAGCGGGGCATGTGTGTGATAAATCCAGGTACTATCTGAATTAGAGAGAAAGAAGTCTTCCAGCGAATTAATGTTAACTATTTTTGCAAAAATAGATGGCGATCTACCCAACTCGGGGCGACGCTTGCGGGGCTTCTTCGAACATTGGCTGCCACAATGGCGTCATCTATTCGAAGTTGTGCCCACTGAGGAAACAGTGGTCTCTGAGGCATACAATGCCGATTGCTTTGTGTAAGTTCGACCAATATTTTCTAAATATAATTACATAGATCTTGCATGTTAATATGTGGGAGATGAGGTCAGCAGGACACGCTCTTAAACCAGTTTTCTCTTCTTTCCTTCTCTCTTATCTCAGTTTTTCAGTCGCTCGTTTAGCTCTCTGTTGCATAAACAGTTACTAAAAGCTTGCACTTCCTTTCACTCAGGCTTCAAAAATATTTGCAGTCCAATTAGTTCGAGCGTTTAATTTTAGCCACTTCGCTTGACTATTTTATTTAACTAATCTAATTTATAATGCCACAGTCTTTTTTGCAATTCTAATTATATTCATTTTTGTTGGATTTACACATTTAATACTCTCAATAGTTATGCAGGTCATGGCTCTGGCCTGCAGTATATATCAGCCAAAAAGATTTGCCGCACACGCGTCAAGGGCGTCGTCTTTCTGTTCGGCTGCGACTCGACTCGCCTGCTGGGCACAGGACTGTACAGCGCACTGTATGGCACCCACAATTACTATCATGGGGCGCTGTGCCCCACAGTGATGGGCACATTAATGCCCGCCTTGGATGCCAATATGGATACGGTGTCGGTGAGCGTGCTGAGCCGTTGGCTCGCACCTGGAAAGCCCGACGTTATACCATGGACACATATCAATCGTTCGGCTTGGTTGACCAAAGGCGAGGTCAAAGGTAGCGTATAAATGGTCTTCTAAATAAATCCAATACTATATAGCCTTGTCTGAATTTTCTCTACGAAAGGTGATGACCTAGAGACGCTGGAGAGACATCCGGACTACCAAATGGGCAGCCTTTGTGCGATAGTGTCGTTTGTGCATCAGGGACTAGTGGAGCCGAAGCTATACAACTCTTGTGTGTACGTGTGCCGTGGACTGCCCGCCTGGAATGTTGCTGTGAAGGAACTGCCTTTCTAATTTCTATAAAAGTGTTCTCAAGACTAGAAAGCTCTTCTCATATCGGAAGCGTGTAAAGTCAAATTAGTTTAAGATGTACAGTGGATGGTGCTTAAAAATATTAATTGCATTTTATCAAAAGAGAGAGGGATGAGTTAAACACCAAAAATGTGAAACACATAGAATTGTTTAAGGATAAGACTAGAATTGGTACAAACTTGAAGTGGGTGTGACTTACCTGCTCATGCAATTTTGATGTAAGGCTGGCCTCGCTTCACTTTATGGAGTTGTTTGTTATGATTTTAAACTCTTTTTTATGTTCTTTATAAAGTTTAATAAATAGTGAATTTATTGTAGTCTTAGTTTATTGCATTAATTTTCCATTTACGAACTTTATTATCATTATTACATTTCGCTTAGTTCTTGGAACTTTGACCGTTTATGTACACAAATTGCATTATTCATGAATAAAAAACTTCAACGCCCAAATACTGTGCATGAAAATTTGTTAATAAAGCTATACATTTAAGTGATTCGAGTATATACAAATTTTCGTTTATAAAAATAATTTGTAGATGAAGAGACCATCTTTATGATTGCGCAAAATAGTTTCTGAAGTATAATCTGAATTGTGATACATAATGCTTCAGATAGAGATAAAGTGCTGTGAATATTTGTGATTAAAACACATATAGAGTTAGAAACATGCAAAGTAGCCTATCCACAGAAAATATTGACCACCTAGATTTACCTAAAAATTTAAATGTTCATAAAGAAAGAAAGTGAATGAAAAGCTCTTAGTGTTATTAAATGAAAGCTTTAGATTTTTTACGTACATTAAAAATTAAGACGTTTCATAGAAAAAAAATACTCGCTTTCGACCTTTTCCTAGATTTAATGTTATTGAAGTTTCTTTATAAAAAGAATTGATTTGAACTCGATAAACTATGCTTATTTCAAAACGTTTTTAACAATAATAAACTCAACAGCTCAGCGCCGACAGCCGCGATTCTGAAATACCTACATACGTAAAATTATTGATATGTTTATGGATTGAAAAAGGCCATCCCATGGAAAGAAAATTTCACTCATCATTATCAATTTTTTGCAAAGGATTTCCATATTTCGGTGTATAGGGGAAGTACCATAATCTACCAATTTCTTTTTCTTATCGAATTCGCGACGTGTGCGTTGAAACATTACTGAGTAAGTACGAATTTCGTGCTTTTTGCTGCCGTTCAGTTCTTCATAATACTATAAAGCCTATCTTTCAATTGTGATTGATATGCGAAAACTGTTAAAATTGCATAACGAACGATCCAATAGTTTCATCGATCGTTTCATATTGATGAACAACCCAAATATTTTGATTATTATTTTTGGACACCGACTAGAAAATTGTTCTAAATTTATTAAACCCTATTTCATAGATATATTTAAGTAAACCTGCACCGTGGTCAAAATTTTCTTTTAAATGTCTGTTTTAAGATTTCTCTAATTTCTGTGTAAATTAGTGAGGGAATTCGTATAAATAAATTCTTCCAGAAATAGTTTGCCGATACTATAAATCCTATGACTACAAAGAATTGTGAAAAATATATCCCCTTTCTTCCAATGTTGTATAGAAGGACACGAATTGATGAAGAGTACAAATTAATCATCAAATATTTATTTCCATTAAATTAAATATTTCTTCTTTGCAAGAAAGATTCTGGATTATATTATAAATCTGAATGATATCTAAATGAAGAGTACAAGAGTAATAATCAACTATTTTTTTCTAATATCATATTTTCGTCAAATACTATCATTAAATAGACTATTTCTTATTTGCACCAAAGATTCTGAACTATAAGATAATTCTGAATAATATCTTAATTGAAACATTTTCAACATCTATAGACATAGATATCAATGAATGCCTCTTCTTAGGTATTAAGCAACAGTTTCAAAAACATAAAATGTTTTTTGCCTGCAACATTATGAGACGACTAGATCACTTTTATATCGATCGCTTAAATGCTTAGGCCTTGCTTGAGATGAACTTTCTAGAATAATTAATGGCACTAAGCATTTCATTATTTGTTCGTTTCGAAATTTTCTCATTTTCCTTGGGTTCATTCATTTCCATTATAAATAGTAGGCTTGCCTCGAACGCTTGACCTACTAACTTATGCCGCATTATAGCACACAAACAAAGGAGACACAATGACAGGAAGATGGAGACAAACGCACACACACACACACACACGCACGCACACATATTCATTAATTAGGCAAGGTCCTGTCCGACACACACACACACATACATATACAGCCATAAGGGAACACACCCACAAGCTGTGCTTTGTTGTTTGTTGAATGACCTTCGCATGTTTTAAATATCAACAAACTCAACCTCAGCTGAGCTGTGCTGATGATGTTCATATGTTATTTACAACAAAAACGATTAGTGTCACATTTTTGCATGTTAACAAACATTTACTCCACATGTGTGTGTGTGTGTGTGTGTGGCAGGCGACTTTAATCCTTGAATTGGATTGAAAGAGGCACACGCCCTTTTGATTACGCAGCTATTAAATATACATAGATAAGAGATTTGTGAGCTGCATAAATCTGTATGCGTAAGGGTGTGTGTGTGTGTGTTTTGCTTATAATTTATGCATATATATAAATATATGTATATAGATATGTATATGTGAATGTGTGTGTGGCTGCGGAAACCTTAATGGTTCAATGCCGTGCCCATGCGCTACGCTGCTATTAAATTTAGCTCGCCATCGCAGCTTTGAATGGTGAATAAATCAAATTACAAGCAAAGGTGCATATACGCCCCCCCCCCCTTCCCCCCCTTCCCCCACCCCGTCTGACTAACCCACTAAGGCAGCACCCACAAGCCCACAGTGCAGTGCAAACTACCAGCGGCCAACTGGTCGACAGCGGCAGCGACAACACGACAGTGACAGCATTAAACAGGATATTACATAACAGGCTCTGCTGCTGCTGCTACTAAACATTTTACAAGCGACATGGACATGTAAATGTGTGTGTGTGTGTGTTTGTGTGTGTTTATGTGTGAGAAGACGTTGTCGCCTGCTTGCCAGCTTTTCCAGTTCTTGTTACTGTTATTGTACTGTAGGGCACATTTTCTGGCAGTGGTTGTTGCTGTTGTTGTTGCTGCTGCTGCCATTTTGACGTCTACTTGCACATTGAATTGAAATTGAATTTTTTGTTTCCGTTACGGGCTTGGCCCCATTTCATGTCAACCATGAGGAAGTAAAAGATGATGGCTGATGAAGTTTGTTGTTACTGCTGATGTTTCTTCTTCCTCTTCCTCTTCTTCGCCATCATCAGCATCATCATCATCTACGCTTTGTTGGCGCTGCTGCACACACAAACAAATACACACACACACACACACACACACACGCACAGACAAATGAACGCACTTACTCACATTTGCATGTAAATGTCTCAGTTGTAAAAAAAAATTGCATCTTTGCTGCGTTAAATTCAAAATCAAAAAAACAACACCTGCAACCTTGAACTCTTCTCCTTTTTTTTTGTTGGTATCAATTGTTCTTCAATTTGTTGTAAAAATATATTTGTTTGAACTTTTCAAAATATTTATTTTTTTATAATTTCTTGCAAAATAGTATTTTATAGAAATTGAATTTATTGTTTATTTGTAATATTTTGTTGTCGTCGTTTTTGTTGTTGCTGAAACGCTTTGTTAACTATTTGTGAAATTCTTTAATTGTTGTAAAATTGTTGTAAATTATTATTGTGCTTCAGTTTTTTGCTATTTATGTTTCATGTTTTTATTTGCATTTTTTTTCAAATTTATTTTTTGTTCTGCACGCGTTGCACACCAATTCTCGAGCAGAGATAAACTAAAACTGTTCGCTCGGTTCGCTGGCAAGCGCGTCCTTTGCCAAGCAGCAACTGCATCCTTTTGGGGTCCCACACACAGACAAACACTCGCCGATATCCTTAAAAATGTTTGTGTCGAAGGACCCGCCGCACATACACACACTCACACACACGCTCATCGACTAAGAGACGCGCGCCAAAAAGAGAAGCACACAATGTTGCAAAATTATTGCGCCTCCAACAGCAAGAACAACAGCAGCAATTACAAGAACAACAGAGCCAGCAGCGAAAAAATCTACTTTTAGCTTCAACCGCAATAACAGCAAAAACAAGAACAACAACAGTAACAACACAAAGAAAAACAACAACAGCCGCAGGGACCTCGTAAGAGAAAGAGAGAGAAAGAGAGAACGCGAACACAACTTTCACCTCGTGTGCGTTTTTGTCCATGTCCGTGTCCTCGCATAAGTATGTTGTTGTTGTTAGTGTTGTTGTTATTACTGCCACTCTACTCCACACACCCCCTCTTGCTCTCTTTTTCACTTTCGGTGAGCCACAGCCACATCGACATCCAAAGCCAAATCCAGCCAAGGCGAAGCCAAGCGAAGCAAGCCAGGGCAGGGCCAACTGTTTTACAATGATTCTGCGTTCTCATGGTGATGTTGTTATACTCCCCGTTTCTGTTTTTGTTACTGTTGTTGTTGCTGCTGCTGGCAGTGTCAATATTGTTGTTATTGTGCTATGCCTGCCACGTGACTCGGTTTTGGCGGAAAGCTTTCTTATCACACACTTCACCACCACTACTCACTCGCACATGCTTGGCTCAGTAAGCGGGCAGGCGAGTGAGTGAGCATGAGAAATGGATGTGTGTGTGTGTGTGTGAGTGTCGCTCTCATTGGTGAGCCCTTCGAGCTTTTGCTGTGGTAGAATTGGTGAAAATCGAACGCAGGACTCATTACAGTTACAGCGCAGCTGGGGAATTGTAATTACAAACGACTTATGGCGTTTAAAAACTTGAAATTAGTTGAGCGGTAAATGAAGCAAATCCTCTAAATTGCTGATGCTTTTGTTTTTCTGTTATCTGTCGGCAGGGGATGTTTACTCTACCACATGCAGGGCTATTTGATTTTACTGTTCATTACGGAATACCTTTTCTGGAAGAGCTGAATAAATAAATTGAATGGTGAACTTTAAAACAATTTGTACTAAATGCTATAATATACTAAAAATAAAATATATTTGATTTACCAATTTTATGTTGCTGAAAAATTATTTAAGTAGCAATTTAATTTTTAAACTTAATTTTGTATTGTGATCAACTTCTACACTAAACTAATTCAATGGAGCCCCCAAAAAAACATGCTGTAATATTGCGTATTAATACTGACAGAGAGTTATTTTTAATTAAGCAACTCTATTCCGCCTTAAATATTGTGAATACCCTCATAAGCTGAAGTATTTAATTTTTTAAAATTAAATGAGCAGGCAACATTAAATGAAATTATTTCCGTTAATATAGTTTTTTAATGTCATTTGTCTATCCAATTAAGGTATTCCAGCAGTTCCCGACTCAAATGAATAATAAACTTATGCTATGATCGCATGGCAAGTAGTAGTTTGCCATACAAAATTAATCGAAAAAAGGTTTATGGAAAAATATAACTGTTTGTTTAGCATTGTAATTTATTTTTTTATGAAAAGGCCTTTAGCTTTAAGACAATAGTAAAATATAGCGCTTTTGTGGCTCTCTTTTACAAACATTAAGTTCAATACAAAAGTTCATATAAGTTCTTTGTATATTTTCTATAGTTGTCTCTTGAACTAATATTACGATTGAGCGTATTAGAGATACGACGCAAATAAGCAAACTCAAAGATGGGATGGTTGTTGTAAATTCTGGAAACTAAAATACCTGGAACGATTTTCAAAATCATAGAATATTCAAAGATGTTGGAATGAAATAACACCAAGAATGGAAATAAACATTAACAAGTAATATCAGATCACACTGAAACTAACAAATGGCTCGTTTTCAGATAAAAAAAAAAGCATCATATTAAAGACCCAGAAAAAATACACTCGAGAAAAGAGGAAATAAAGAAGAGGATTATTTTAATTTAAAAAGAAACAAACACTTTATACGCGTATTTTCAAATATTCATTAAATGGCCTTTTGTTTATTTTTACATTTTAAAAAACTTACAGCTATATTTCCTACATACTCGCAGATAGATACGAGTTCGTAGTTGAATTATGCATCGTTGGGCATTCTAATAACTAGTTTCGCATACGAAAGGGACTGCACTTAGATTTATAAATGTATTATAAAGTATTATGTACTTTCTAGGTGCTAGGTGTTGAAAATCGCAGAGCGTTTCTTTGATTTCATGCGTTTTGTACGATTCGTTTGTCTGTGTATTTTACAAGTTTTTAACTTTCCAACCGTGCTCATGTTCGGTTCCCCCGAGGGACTCGATGCCCTCTAGGAGGCAGCGGCTTCTCCTTCCTCGACATCCGCCTGAGGAGGCTCGTCACTGGCGGTGCTTTTGCTGCGGGTTTGTGTCTGCGAAAGGCAATCATTAGTCCTAGCTGCGACTATTTCCGACACAAGCCGAACTCACCACACCACCACCACCACCACCACCAGCCGACACATTACGCTGTGGGCAGTCCGCATGGAGATGGTCCTCGCCCCGGCACCGATGGCAGCGCTTCGGCTGCGGTCCCAGCGCACACTCCGAGGCGATGTGATTTGCGAATTCGCCGCAATTGTAGCAACGCATTCGACGCGTCTTTCTATTGCTGCATTGGAAAGGAACTGTGAGTATGGAGGGGGCAGGATGTGAATGCTAATGCTGGCACTTACATTCGCGGTCGGTAGGTACTCCCATGGCAATCATCACCTTGGCGACCCGACACGCGTGTCGCCTCCAGACCGCGCTCCGTGCGCTGGCACTCGAACTCCACCTCCTCCTGCTCGCCCAGCGAGCGAAAGCCGGACATTTTTATGACGCTCTGTGAGTTATAGAAAATAAGAAACATTAGCTTGTTGGCCAGCTCCGCTCCGCTCAGCTCAGCTCAGCTCAACTCATTTCAGGTTGGCACCCACCTGATGCACAAACACCTCCTGGCCGCCATCGTTGGGCGTGAGAAAGCCCCAGCCCTTGGCCACATTAAACCATTTGCATTTCCCGATACGCACACAGCCACATTCCTGCGCGGGCTCTACTAAAAATAAACAAATCAGGTTAGGGAGCGGTTATTTAAAGCTATTTCAGTTTATTACTCACTAATTGATAATAAATAAAAATTGGTTTATGTGAGCATGATTTCAAAACAATCCAGGTGCTTCTTAAGGAGTTTTAATAATTAATGTAGAAAAACGAAAATGCTTTCTATATAAGAACATAGAATATTGTGCTAGAATGTTCTCGTATTGTGTCGATTTTCAAATTCTTCAAATTGTTGTAAAAATAATATTGCATTGTTTTTGGAATTTTTTGTTTCAAACAATATTTGTAACCTTCAGCTCTCTTGCTTATAGCAAGAATTCTACCAAAACTACCATTAACAATTACCTCTATGATTAAAAAAAGCTTGCAACTTTGTTTGCTAGAGCGAAATAAGTAGCTGGGACAAAAAACAAAAGATATTAAAATATATTGGGTAAAAAAAGTTCAAAAATAATACAATATAGTTTTTACAAAAACAAAAATTTTCATCTCAGATGCAATGAATAAAACCTTCATTTGATAATGTTTTATGATACAATTATACATTTTAATTATTGACGTGTACTGCAAATTTATTGAATCTTATACATATTGATTAATCAATAAGTAAAGCTAGAAACATGACTTTAGCAGAATATTGAAATGAATTATTAAAAGATTTTGCGATCGAAAATATGTCACTTTTATTTTAAAGCTGAACCCTATTATTTCAAATAAATACCGAGATAGTTTTGAAATAAATTCTGTACCACAACTTTCTCTAAGACCGTGGATGGTTGATTACTCTAAAGTATTATAAATATTAATCAATAAAGAATAAAGCCAGAAATTCGACTTTAGCAGATCATTGAAATGAATTATTAAATGATGGAAAATAAGTCACTTTTATTTTAAAGCTAAACCTTATTATTTAAAATAAATTCCGAGATAGTTTTGGAATAAATTCTGTACCACAACTTTCTCTAAGACCGTGGATGGTTGATTACTGTAAAGAATTAATTATAATAAGCATTCTCTAAGCTTAGTAAGTAAATTCAAAAAGCTTTAAACGTATTAACATGATGATTAATAATTTCATACTAGCTTTATACAAATTTTAAAAACTACGAGGAACACAATCTTTGCCTGCAATGACTGTTGTTTGTCCACTGTTTTTCAGGATTTTATTACTTTCTTAATATTGTAAAAAGAATTGCGCTAGATTGCAAGCCTTGAATGTTCAGTTCGTTAATTGTTGAATATAGATACGATTAGCTTGGTTATTAAACTTGGCTTTGAGCTGGCTATGAGTTAATTATTAAAGCTTTACTTATTAAGTGCGAAGAGTAAGTATATTTATCGAATTTATCTATGAGCAAAAATTGCTTTTAATTTACTTAAAATATGGTAACCAGGATCAACTCTGATGGCGAAGGAACTCCAAAATGTAAGAAGCTTTAGAGCGACAAATCGAAATGAAGAAAAACAAAATTGGATACTTTTGGCTAAACCAAACCCGCCACAAAATGAATGTTTATTTGTAATCAAATATTTTCCAATGCACATAAATCAAAATAATTATGAAAATGCCGTTCTGGTCCATAACCTTCTGTGCAGTAATTTATAACATTATAGCCAACTTTATTCGTAACGCTTGCGCCGCTCCTTTTACCACACATTGAAGTCGATGCGAATATCCTGTCTATGTAGGCTTTGCTGCAGTGTAACGCATTGCTTTGTTATTCAAATTGATGAGCCTTTTCTCACACAGGCAGCAGCAGCTGTATGGGAGAGTCCCATAGATGTGCGTGTCCTATTTGCCGCAAGCGAGCAAGTTAATGGGCTTGGCAGGAATTCAAGGAATTGAATTGAAAGCAGTGCCGGATAGACAGAAAGACGACTCGAAGGATGAAAATACAAACAGCGATTGCTTGTCATAGTAGCAGAACTAACAACAACAACAACAACAATGACAACGACAACAGAAAAACAGGTTTCGGCTTATTATAAAAATGTTTTGAAAAAGAGATAGCCCATAAAGCAATGGCCCGATTCTCGGCATATTCATTTCTTTATCTGTGGCATGCATGAATCTCATCTACACGCGTTTCGTGGCGCTCCATTCTCACACACATTGCCACTCATTGTGTGTGTACGAGTATGTATTGGTGTATCTATGAGACATTCATTCATAAAATTGTTCTGTTGCGTTCCATTTGGTTTTCTTATCGTTAGCCTCAAGACACGTACACTCGAAGCGATACGGGTAAATGAATGCAGTTGAAGAGGGCCAATGTTTTGATAGCTGCTATCTGAGAATTGAATTATAAGCCATAGGGAAATCCTTGTGGTTGTTCTAGCTACTTCTTCATAATGGATAGAAATTAGTTTTTATTAAATTGTTTGTTGCTTTTCACCCTCTTGAAGGGTGGGCTTTCATGTTTTTAAAGTGTAAAGAACTTAACCACACCGTTTTGTTAGACCTTTGATGTGTATAAGGATTTCAATTAAAATTACATTTTAGATGTTAAATGCATCAGCAATCTATTGGAATCTTAAGTTTCAGGATAGAAATTAAATATTATTATAGATTCTATTTCAACTTTAAATTACTAAAAAAACTTTTTTTTCCATTTTATTTTAATTAATCAACTAATTGTGCTGGCTATAAAGATTACTATATAAGATGTTTTTTATTAAAATATGAGGTTTCCTTTTGTGCCCCAAGAAAACCCCAATAATTCAGTCTACAAGAAAAAAATTCAAAAAATCGAGCATGGAGTTTAGTTTTGTTTAAAAAACCAAGAAATCGATTCATTGAAAAATGCGGATAGAAACTTTGGAGCATGTTTCCCCCATTTGGAGCTCGAATTTTCCAAAACCTATTGCCCACCGTCACTGTGAAAGGATACTTGAGTTTAAATTTCAGCTTCCTAGCTTTTATCGCTTGGACTGTGCGTTGACCACCAATCAGTCAGTCATTCAGGACAAACTTATTAATGGAATATTAATAGATATTATAAGTATTACAAAAAAGATATAGAATAATGGCATGTTATACCTTTAACTTAAAATTAAGAAGGCTTGAAAAATAACTATACAATGTATATACTATATGTGCCTCAGACACATTGGAGGAATTTTATCTGCGTGGCTTTCTAAGAAAGAAATTTCTTCTAGATTAATATTTCACCACTTTTCTGAAGCATATGTGCTATGTATATAGCTATATACTCATACAACTATAGTTATGTAAGTTGCTATTCAACGCAGCAATATGGATCTCCATGGATCTCTTAAATTACAGGCACTGAGATTTCTTGAAAGTTCAAATAAGACACTTACGTGATGACAAGACCTCTTCAAACCACCACCACCACCGCTACTAGCTCAGCCATTGCTGGCACCATCTGACCCTAATTTCATGAGCACGTACATGTAGTTTCTATTTCGATAGCAGCCCGCGCCAAGATCTCTCAGTGATGGGTTCGCTTCCATCAAAAAATATGTTTCTTCTTGGGAAAAGCAGTGAAGCAGATAAGAAGCGCAAGTTTCCTTCTCATCAACAAAATTGGATGGAGATTTTGTAAGCAAACCAGTTTTTGTTTAATTTGTTGTAAAAAAGAAAAGAAGAAGAAGAAGTCGCCTCTATTCCACTCTACGCATGTAAATGAGGTAACCATTTGGCTGAGCTCCGAGTGCGCTCAGGCAAAAGGGATCAGCGAAAAATAAGGACAATACTGACATGCTGATTACGAATTTGTTTTTCCAAAATACGCGCTTTTCCGCTGCAAATTGCACGCCAGAGGGAGGGATTTTGCTGGACAGGGTTGCAGTTTCACGTTGAGGGTGGGGTGCGACATTGTTGCCAAATCACGGAACGTTACCCTCGACGGGCACAAGTCTAGGGGTGGTGACTCGGGGCCCAGCTACTGCGTTATATACCACGATTTCAGCGGCATTTGCCAATAAAAAAGTCGCACAACACAAAAAATGCGATGGAAAAAAAAACTGCGCAGTATATAAAAAAAAATCAAACAAGCAGCGATCGCGTGGCCAATCAGCATCGAGTTTGATAAGATTTTGTGCGGTGTTTATGTTTTTTTGGGGCCCAAATCAACAAAAGTGAAACTAGTTTCGAGCTACTTTGTGTTGAATATAGACACAACAATCGAATATTTCTGTAGGTATAATAATTGAAATATATTTATATGGCTACGGTCTGTTTTGTTTTCGATTTGTTGTACCTTGTGGGGACGGCGATTTCGACAGTTGAGTTGGCGCTGCGCCATCCAATACGTCTCCAGAACTCGTGTTTTCCATATTTGTTGTTGTTGTTGTTGTTTTGAGTGATGGGGGCTCTTGAAGTGCGTCTCTATATATGCGTCTATAATCAAGCGACAGGCGCCCTTCCTATGTTCATCAAGTTCACTTTTCGATGCTTTCTAATTTTGAATGCATGTTCCATGCAAACACACTTTTCTTTTCTGTTATTTTCTTTCTTTCTACACACACACACACACACAGACACGCACGCAGCAAAGAATGTCGCGACAGAGGAGGGTCCAGAAATTGAAACTCGTAAACGAAAACCCCGAAAACTCGAACTTGAAACCGAAAATAAAGCGGAATTATTGAAACGTTGCCGCTGCGCACGACGCACTCCGCCACACTGACTTCATGTCGAGTTGTACTATTTCTAGGAAGCCCGAAAACCACTACACAAACAATATTCAAAGATGAGAATGTATGTGTGTGTGTGTGTGTGTCTATTCGTGTGTGTGTGTGTGTGTGTGTGTGACAACAAAAACAGCATTAACCGCATTAAATGTGGAAAAACATCGACATCGCCGCTCTACGAATATGTGTGCGTGTGTGTGTGAGCGCGATACGTAATCGTAGTACGTGTATCTGACAGATACTTTACGTAGCGATCAGCATTTGCTGCGCGCTACACGCAGCACACACAGAGCGAAAGAGGGAGAGGGAGAGAGACCGCGCCGCTCTCAGCATTTCAATTTCTGCGGGTCTTTGTAAATTTATCTACGACCTTAGATAATATTTTGAAACGCACTAGCACTGTACTCGTGCTCGAACACGGCACGGCAATGCTGAGGAACTGTGCTGAGGTGTTTGTGTCTACGAATGGATCGACACATCGGCACCTCTGATAGGCTTGAGTGCTTCGAGCCATACTAGATTGCAATAATCTGATTGGTCCACTGCTAAAAAACTGCATAAAAAAGTGCAAAAATAACAACCCGCAACACTTCGCCATTCCACCCCTAAGCAGCCAATGCACAATTTTTGCCAAATTGCGACTGACGCGTGCCACACACACACACACACACACAACTCACCCCCAGTTCGTGCGAATTACATGTGAGTGCTCGTGTGGTGCAACATTTTCCAAAATTGTACGCAATATATCATGACACGTGTCTCTGGCATCACAAATCGCTAGCCAATGCCTAGAAATACATACACATGCAGTATATGTATGTATGTATGTGTGTTTGTGTGTGAAAGTGTCGTTATAATTTTGGGAAATTTACAAAAATATTATTTCCAGCTAACTACATGGCTACAAGCAGTGGTGCCTCAAAAATGGCAATTTTTTCAGGTAAGACTTTTTAACACTTAAAGAAATTAAAGAAATTTACAAAAATATTATTTCCAAAAAGTACATCCCACTCAAGGGAACAGCAGCTAAGCTAACTACAAGTATGTCCTCAAAGCTAGCCTGACATTTTTTATAAAACAAACAATCCTTCACTGGTGCTTTAAAAATGCTAGATTATTTCTTCAGGTAAGACTTTAAAACACTTATATTAAATAGATTGGGTTGTAGTGTTTCTCCAATTTTTGTTCTACAAGCATAGAATAAGTCTAGATTTCTGATGTTTTTCCATTTCCTTATTTCGAAGACTGCGTAAAGCGATAATATTTTTGTCAAAATACAAGTATGATTATTATCCATTATTCTTCCATAGCGCTGAATAAATATTTTGCATTAATTATACTTATTCTAATTCTATTCTTTCACAATATACATATGTATATTAATCTATTATAACTTTGCTAGTTCACATCATTTTAATTTCAGGAAATTGGTCACTGAAGGTCCCTATCCTATAAGAAGGAAGTGCCTTTACAGTTCATTGAATTTATAGTATTTATTTATTTTCTAGTGATACAAGAAAAATGTTTATAAATTAATGCACTACTCAAAAAACTAATAAAATGTACTTTGTAAAATTTTAATTGATTTAATATACCTACTACATCTATTTTATAAAATTTAGAGTTTATTTTAATGGATTATGCTGTATTTCGAACATTTTATATTGTTAGTTACATATTTTATGAGAACAAATTTAATGTTTCCTTAATTACGATGCACTACTAATTTTCTTAAAACTTGTGGCGAATAGCATAAATAAAAAAGAGCCAAGCTCATTTTTATTTTTTCAGGGGAGGTACTTAAGCGTAGTTTTTTATACGGATTTTATACGGTTCTCTTGTAAATATGATTTTATGCAAACAACAAAAAACAATATTAAACTTTTTGGATTTTCTGGAATTTCGCCAATCTAATTTAAACAGCAATTTTTAAAACTGGAATAATATTTTGTGTGCCCGAGAGAGTTCCAAATACAGTATATCAGAGTTGGCGGTAGTATTTAAGGCTTTTTTTTATAAAATTGAAGAAGTCTTTTAAATTTAAAATTGTATCTTAAAAGATATAGATGTTTGGAAAAGTTTGTGTTAAGCCAGAATTTGTCTGCAATATTTCGATCGCTCGTATCGCTTCTAATCACTGATCTGTTAAGCTTCGTAAAAATGTAAACCAACACAATCAACATTAACGGGTACTGCTACAGTTTTATCTAAAATTAGACAAAGTCGGACTCATTTTGTGTAATTGAACGAAACTGGAGAGTCTGAATTTTTTTAGAAACTTCAGCTTGTAAGGAAAAGGTAATGAAAAAAGTACATAAAACATTAACTACACGAATTTGCTTCGTTTTGTAACGCCCTTGACTCCGATTTTATGGTAAGGCTCGCTAATTTGTAATTCGAAACATTTTTATGTGGAACGAAAAAAAAAATATTACTTTGCTTTTAGAAAAAAAAAAAAGTTTATCAACAAGACCAAGGAATCCAACCCATGAAATGCTGACTGATTTCTCAAGCTTTGAACAACAACTTGCTTTTAAATATGGAAGTTCTGCCTCTGATTTAACCACAGGGTTGAGCCTGCTTCGATTAGCTGGAAGACTTCACTCAAGACAAAAATTAAGTATTAAGTATTTGCTTTTAAAATAGAATCATTCGGATTGATAATGGCTTCTTGCAGGCCGTCGGAAATTATTCAAAAGCTCTTGTTGTGTCTGCTCTCCGATCTGTGATGAAATCAGCAAACTTAATTACAGTGAATAGTCCCTTAACGGACACCTCTTTTATCCGGACACTCTCTTTGGATCGGTGTATAAAGTACAAGTATTTAAGTATCCCCTAAGTGGACACTAATGGACCGACCGTATGTGTCCGGCCAAGAAAGTTTTCACTGTAATTACTATAGATTACTTTAATGCTACTACTATTACTATTCGTTAGTGACTAGACCTAACCAAGTTTTTACTAATCTAATTAATATTATTTCAATTTCGTATAAAGCATGAAAAAAGTTCTGTATTTCAATTGAAGCTGGTCTTTGCTTGGCCTATGTATTGCTTTATTATATGCATTATCTTTGTGTTCTATAAATGGCCCACACTTTCCATATTGCGAGAGTTTTGCTGAACTTCTCGTGCATAGTTTCCCTTTGGAAAGTACATCGACTGTCACTCAGAATGCAAACATCAATCACATGTCAATCAAAAGTGCAAGTGGGACACTTCAATGATTTCTGTGCCCGCGCCCAATAATCGGACATCCCATTGAGCATGCAAATTATTTGTGCTTGCACAAAAAACACACACAATACATGCGGAGACTACGCCTGATTCCTGATTATCGCACATACCAGCGTCGTGGCGATAATAGCCTGCCAAAAAAAAAAAAAAAAGAAACAACAACAACAGAAAACTGCAGTTTGAACGTCGAGGTGCTGACGGGTCAAATGTGGCCAGCAGGACGTGCTACGTGTGAGTGTGTGTGTGTGCGTGTGCGTGTGTGCCAGGCACACGCCAACCCTCCCTCCCTCTCTCCCTTTGCCATTTACCATTTCCCATTTCGTTTGCATGCCGCCAACTGTCCAGGCCTGCATCTCTGATTTTGCATAGATTTTCTGCTACAATTTCTTTCATTTTTCCGGCCCTGATTTTTTGTTTGGCAACATTTTATACATGCACACACATCTATATTTAAAGCGGATTATTTTCAGGCTATTGTCCCCTCGCGCTCTTTGTCTGCCCATCCGTTTGACGCTCAGCGCGGAAATGCCTCGGACCGAGCACCGAGCACCGAGCCCTCGGACAATGGACGCCGCATATCCACTGGATGCAATTGCATTCATGTCCGCTGGTCCGCTGGCTCCCTTGTTAATCCTGTTCCAATTAAGCGTGTGTGAGTGCTTCGTATCCCTAATGGGCACTTTCGATTTTCGCCTTTATTTCCCATTTACACATACACACATAAATAGATGTATGCTCGTATATGTCGCTGTAGGCGTTCTGCTATCGGACGCGCGCCGGCACATTTTCTCGACCAAAATATTGATTACAGTCCGAGTCCAACGGTTTTTTGTGAGCTGCTGCAGTGTTTGTGTGCCTTTGCATTTATTATTGCTAAACTGAAACTGACCCTAAATGACCTCGCAGCAGCCGAAGGGAAGCGAGTGTGTAGCTCTGCGCCGAAAAAAACTTATTACAAGACCGAAAACATTTCAGTTTATAAAATGTGCCTAGATTACTTAAATATAAATTGAATAATAAAATATGTGCAGAACAAAATTGAAATTATTCTTCAATTATTTTTCATTTTCACTTCCTTTAATTTCACTACAAATATAAATAGAGCATAATACAATTTTATAGTAAAATTAAAAGGAGTGAAAATAAAAAATAATTGAAAAATATTTTAATTAAAGAATAATTTCAATTTTATTATTTTATTATTCATACATATATACTTCCTTGAATTTATATTTATATTTAAACGGTGGGCGAAAGAATTTGAAGACCCCTACACAACTCTAATTTTTATACGTCTTTTGTGGGGCGTACCTAAGATTCTTCTTGCCCTGTGTGGTGTCCGGAGTTTGCATTACTGCATAAGGATCGCATTGAATCTGTTAAAATATAATTCCTTTTGTTTGCTTCACGTTGTCTTCGATGGGGTAGACCCAACCCTACAACTGTTAGATCTTCTATCACTTACTAATCGTAGGATCTTAGTAGGTGTTCTTTTTATACATAAATTAATTTTAGGTGAAAGCGAGTGTTCAGTGTTCAGTCTAATTAATTATTATCATTATTTTTTCTATGTTTCCATCTTTTTAAAATGATAGATCTTTGTCAGAAATAAATAATAAGCGTTTCTGTAAAAAACTATAAAATACAAGTTGGCATACATTGGTCGGAGAATTGATTAATTATAAATAATTTCGAGACATTTTCGGGTCATGACATGGTTTAATTCAGATTTTTGATACTTAGCCGAAACGCTTGCAAAAAATGTAGGACTTCTAAGAAGTATTATCAGTAGAAGAGCTATTTAAAAAATTGAAGGTTATACTTAATGTACAAGTATATACCAATAATTACGCCGGAGCACCTAGTCCCACTAATGATAAGAAACACCAGGGCATAATTACAAGAGTCATCACAGTTCATGCTATGAAATGATATCAATACATAAGTATGATCCTGCGAAGCAATCTCTTTTGGGCAATCAATTCATTTTGTATTACTATCTAGCCTAGATATAACAATTGTATGAAAATATAAGTTAATTAAAAGAAATTTAGCTTAGGACTGTAGGAAATATTTTATGAACAGATTATTCTTTTTTAATTGATTGAAAACTATTTAAAAATTTCCCACTCAAGAAAAATAATGCATATTAGTTCAGTGTCCTGCTGTCATTACGCGACGATGACTTCAATTTACTTTAATTCATAGATTTATAGAAATATTAACCGCTTATAATAAGACAAGTCGCGTCAATGGCCCTACAGGTTGTACGCTTACTGTATATATTTAATAATTATTTGCAATATTTTTCTAATAAATAATAAAACAATTTGTTGATTTATTTTGCATACGAATATTTCTGAGTGGTTTATTCATAATTTGGAATGCAACAAATTTTTTCCCTTCCATGTATGTGCTACTATTGTTATCAGATACAGTTTTCTAATCACAAGGATCAGTTGTGAACTATTTCTAACCTCTGGACTGACAGCAGGTTAAGTAAATAGCATAAGAATTTTTTACCTTAAGCATTTCCCCGCAATTTATAAACTCATGGCGAACACTGAAAATTCTTTTCTATTGCATACTCTATAGGGTTGCAGTTTGCACAGCGCCACCTACAGTTCCAGCCACCAAGCAAAGAAACAAACTAGTTTGTCTCTCCTATCCACTTTTTATCCTTTAAGGATAATAAAAACTCTGTTGTGATGCTGCAGTTTTTAGTATGAAATATTTTGTTTTTATTTAGTTTTATTTCGACTTTTTTCGTATTTACTTTTTATTGTGATTTTATGCAGAAATATGTTTGTAATTATTTATTAGAGATATTTTATATAATTAGTAGGAATTTAAGTTGCTTTCAAATAATGTATTCGTTTTTAGATTTACGCATATAAATACATATGTGATGTATAAAGTCCATTATAGACTTCCCGCATAGATTTTTGCTAGGGGCCTGGGGGGCGTTATGAGAAGTGAGATACACGTACCTAGGTGTATTCATATATGCCTGGGCGTTTCAATGCATATATCATATATATATATATATAATCATATAACATCTTGAATGGGAATAACAAATAATGAACACTAACATAATTTATCATTTCAATTGGGAATGCTTGGGCGCAAATCAAATTCGCTGTCTTTGTTGCTGTGACGCTTGTGAGAGTGTGTGAGTGCGTGTGTGAATTTTTTTAATGATCTTGTTTCTGATGCTTTTTTATTTGTTTGTTTGTTTGAAAACCAATTTTGTACATTTTGTGGACAATACCGTTTGCAATTAAGCATATATACCAATAAGAGTACCAATATACATACAGATAACAAAGGGTTCTACATACATTATATTGAAGTATCGATAAATATAGTACAGATACATGTAAATATATGCTGCAATAAAGGTTTACATACACTTATATCATATACTCGTACATACAATAATGCAATATATTTGGATTTGATTTCTATAATTGATTTTACTCTTCTTTCTTCTTGACTTAAATCAGAGTCACTTATAACACTAAGAAGCAGTCATTTATTCTCCATTTAAATTTACGTGTTGTCGTCACTTGAATCCTGAAACAGATTTCAATTACTGTACAAGTTGGATGTTGCCCCCATCTCCCCTGTGGTGAGGGGAGGTGTTGGGGCTTATTAGAGTATAGCTCTCTACGACTACATACGTACGTGTTGGTTTGTTTGTTGGTTTTGTGTGTAATATAAATATTATTTTAAATATATATTAAATATACAATACATTACAATGCTTGGAGTAAACAGAGGCCGCATATATGGAAAAACAAATTGTATATGTCAAAAAAGAAAACAATATAGTAGCAAAAATTCTGTTGTAAAATGTAAAATATTGAATTCTAAACTTTGAGTTGCATGCGCCATCATCTATCAGTTGCATTCACTATGCGCATTATATTTACGAGTATTTTTCTAATAATTCATTCAGTCTCAGTCTCACGAATAGGAAAGTATGCATGTCGGTCTCTAAAGAGCGCATGGCCTTCACTTGCTATTTACTGCATAACTATGTATATGTTGTACACACATACATGTACATATATATGTATATTATTCAGTGAAAAATTATGTACTATGGCAAATAAGGAAATGTGAAATGGTGGTAAAACAAAAAATGGGATTTCTTCAGCCTTTCTATGTCCGAACTTTGCCAATTTTGAGAATAAAGAACACAAAATCAGAACGAATTTAAAGTAAGCTATGAAATGGTATAATTAAAAATTTAAAAAACTCATCCAAAAAATCAATTAAGCACCGTCTTAATTCGATATTCTTCAGCGTAAACTCTTCTGCCTATCATGACGAAGATCATATCTTTTGAAAGCGCTACGACTATACTATATTAAATGCATAAATTATTTGTTTCTGAAAGACTTGATTAAATGCAAGAGATTAATTAAGGATGTGGCTTGAAGGAAGTGCATAATTAATTAGAATAAATCATACTGTTAAATACTCAGTTGAAATAATACCAAGCTTTGAAAACTTCGGAAAAACTCAAAGATTGTAATAAAATATATTCCATTCCATAACCTGCTATTGTTGGTATCTCTATTGGGGTGAGGGGGCGAATTTGGAATGGGTTGCCATAACACAAAAGAGCGATAAGTCATGCCAAAAACCAAATGATTGAAATAAAAAATTCAATTTTGTTAAATAATTTTGATTATCTTCTTTTATATTTTCCATGTAAGTAGAATTTCATTTCATTTTTCCATCATCATCAACATATCATCATCATAATCATCATTTTCATCGTCATTTCACTTCAGATATAAGAATGTGATTTGTAATTTATATATAAATATTGCATATGTTTATAAATCTTATACTCTAATAGCTGTTACATGCTACAACATCGTCATCATCTTTAGCATCGTTATTATGCTTGACATTTCTCTTTCTCTCAATGTATTTCATAATTCTTCATTAATTTCAAAACGCGACTTTGTATCAAATACAAAAATACAAAAATTTTGCATAGTCTTAGTCTCAATTATTGGCGCTACCACTACTACTTTACACTCGCACATACACACATATGCGCTTGCATTGCGCATACGCCGCATGTGCCCGGCGCGCTCTCAAAATATACTTAAAACTAACAAATTGGTGTTGTGTCTTACAGAAGAAGCCGTTAATAGCTTTTTTGTTTGTTTAAAGATATAATATACACATAAGTTACGGGTAGATTACACTAGACATATTACTAGTTAAGTGATTAAAGTGTACGCTTACAACCTAGTCAGCCTCATTAACATTATAAGCTTAATGGTAGGTATTGATTAATTAATTAATTCATTAATTAATTATTAGTCAGACAATTAACTAAGCATGATTACTTATGGGAAATTAGAAATTAGAAGACTATAATTGAGAGCGTTTTATAATTTTGGTAAAGTTCACTATAGTACAAGCAAATTTTTGGAATTCGTTGGAAAAAAATTAAAAGTTGTTTTTCTACATTTGTTTTTTGTTTTTATCAAATATTCTTCTTTTTGCATTCGTATTTTATGTTAAGGCGCAGAAAATGTTGCTTTTTAAAGACTTGTTGTTTTTACTTTAGAGAAAATATTTTTGTGTGTCAACTACTGTGTGCTGTGTAATGTGTTTGTGTGTCTGTTTGTGTGTGTGTGTGTTTGTGTATTAGCTATTTATGTTTATAGTTTAATTTTACGTGTTCTAATATTTAAGCTTTATAGTAATAATTCAATATGTTTCATAATACAAATACAATTGTAAATGTAAATGTGGACAAATGGAAACAGTCAAAAGCACCGATTTTCAGCTAAGTTTTGTTTATGTTTTTTGTTTTTCTTGTTTTTTGTTGTTGTTGTTATTATTTTTAAATCTTGTTCCTCTTCTTGATTTGTTTTCATCTTTAATCATAATTGTAATTATAATAATAATCATAATGATAATTAATAATCACTACTACTTGGCTACGTAAATAATTACACATTTCTTTACAGTACAGTACAGTACAGTCCTACTATAGTGAATCAAGCGCGATTAATTAATTCAAGCAACGAAATTGTTGTTGTTGTGATCAGACATTGAATTGAAAGTAGTATAGTAGTAGAATGGTACAAAAGAATTATTCAGTGGTACTATTTACAAAAATTGCCTGGCAATTCACAAGTATATAGCATTTGTATATAATAAAATACATACAAATATATCGGTATATGTATATATATACTATATATTCATATATAAAATACGTATGTATGTATGTATGTATGTATATGTGCCTCTCAATTCATCTGCTTGACTTAACATAATGTTGCAAGTATTTCTTATTGTACAGGCTAAGTGGTTTCATTATTTCATATATCTATGTATGTATGCATGTATGTGGGTGTGTCTGTGTGTGCGTGTGTGTGTGTGTGTGTGTGAAAATCATCGCTCAATTCGCAATTAGAAGCAAAATTATCAATTGGTTCTGTTCAGTGTTCAACGAAATTTAAATAAGGCAACTTGAATTTAATTATGATGTAAGTATATAGTATGATGTCTATATGCATGTACTTGTATGTGTGTGTGTGTGTGTGAATGAGTGTATATGATGTACATACACTCTATGTGTACGTCTTATTTGAGTGAGTGCAGCTGCAACTGCGGCTCAAATCAACGTCCAAATGTAAATGCACATCTCCATTTGAATAGTTTCGCTTTTTATTTTGTTTTGTTTCTAAAAACACATGCCACATGCCATTTTTGTTGTTCACGCTTAAAACACGTGACACAACAAATACAACAACAACAACACTCAAAATTCATCAATTCACTCTCTCTCTCTCTCTCTTTAATACAATAAAATATTTATCAAAAATAATATGCAGTTTATCAATTTCTTCAATTTCAATTGGCTGCCAATAATTTGTGAGATCTTTTTCATTATCTTTTCCTTTTTTTCCGTTTTTTTGTTTTATGATTTTTTGTTTGGAGTTTTTTTTTTTGATGGCGCGAAATAAATTTTATTTAAGATTTTGTTTTCGAATTTTGAATTGGCTTTTTTTGAGTGGCCCGGGCGCCTGCCTCTATATATGTACAACTACTTGTAGTATAATACCGTTATGTGTGTTTGTGCGGTCTGTACGAATGTGTGGTTGTGTGTGTGTGTGTGTGTGTGTGATCTGTCCAGTGTCCGTGAGTTGGGGTCCAACTTAGACTGCTTAGATGCGACGCTTAAAATTAAAGTTACATAATTATTGCACTTGATTTCCGTTTCAGAAGAGCTCTCAGTGTGGTTTGTGGCTTGGGCTCTACGTGCACTCGATGATCATGGGCTGGTTGGAGGATTCGATGACCGAGGGTCGGCTCTCCTGGGCCTGCACATGTGTGGGGGCATGCATGTAGGGGGACTCCGATCCTGGCAGCGTCTGCTTCAGTGACTTGAGATTGGAGGGTGCCTGTTGTTGTTGTTGCTGCTGCTGCTGCTGCTGTTGTTGCAACAAATGTGGTGGCGGTGGTGGCAACTGGTTGGCTGTAGTTAGCAGCAATGGCGTGGCTGGCACGCCATGCTGTTGCAGCAACATGTGTGGCGGTGGACCCTGCGGATGCTGGTGCTGTGCTGGCCCTGCTCCTGGCGGTGGTGGCGGTGGTGCATGATGCATATGTAGTGGCTGCGGACCACCACCACCCCCCACACCCTGTGTGTGCGAGCCCAGCGGAATGAGACGTGGCGGTGATTGTGCACCACCGCCGCCCATGTGACGCAGACTTGGATGCATATGCTGCTGCAGTTGCTCAAAGGCCTCACGCGAATCTGGCTCGGGCAGATCTTTGTCTGGGGAAGGGAAAATATAGCAATGTATTTTATGACGATGGGGGTAAGTCCAGCTGAGACTCACCCAAGCACTCGGACGTGGCTGCCGCCGCCATTGCCAGCTCCTCCTCCAGATTGTTCGGCTTACAGCTGGTCGTCTTCCAGTGCGTGCGCAAGCCAGAGGCGCTGATATACTTTTTGTCACAGCCCTGGCACACATACGGCCGATCATTGGTGTGCAGGCGCTTGTGCAGCTTCAGATGCACGAACTGCGTGAACTTTTGCGGACAGAGATCGCAAGCGTATGGCTTCTGGCCGCTGTGCAAGCGCAGATGCGTTTTCAGATTGGACGTGGAGGAGAAACGTTTCTTGCAGATATCGCACTGGTGCGGCTTCTCTCCCGTGTGCACCAGATGGTGTTTCTGCAGATGCGCCAGCTGCGTGAAGCTCTTCGTGCAGACGTTGCACTTGAACGGACGCTCGCCCGAGTGCGTGCGCAAATGAACCTTCAGGTTGCTCAGCTGGCCGAAGGTCTTACAGCACACATTGCACTCGTAGTGCATCTTCCCATCCTTCTTCTTCAGGGGATACGGCAGCGAACGGTAGCCGCGTGAGGCCAGCGAATTCGGACTGAGGGGACTGCCGCTCCTTGGACAGGAATTGCCATCTGGGCTGAGGCTGCTGGGCGGCGAGATGCGTAGTGGAGAGAGACGCTGCAGTGGTGTGAGTGGTTGCATCAGTGGGTGGTTCAGCACTTGCGTGCTGCTCTGCAGCAGATGCAGATTTGAAGTCGAACCACCACTCGACGCGTTCGACTGGCGATCGAAGGGCGAGTGGGAGCTGTGGGGCGGCGAATGAAAGGTGGAGGTGGCTGCATGCAAGACCTGTGCACCACCGCCTCCACCACTGGAGTAGGGTGAGTAGCCAGCATAAGTGGGCGAGGGTGAGTGGGGACCACCATCACTGCCCATATACGCGACATGGGCGCGTGAGGGCGAGAATATGACATTGTGGTGATGATGTGAGGGCGGTGGTGGTGAGCATTCGCCTTTGATGAGACCACGGCTGGCAGCCAAACTCAGTTCCGGCTCGTTGACACCGGCCACAAGCTCCTGCGACTGTCCCAGATTGGAGCTAGAGTCAGGACTGACAGCATTTCCGTATCGCTGAGATTTCTTGTACGAGTACGCCATCTCTGTTGGCGATGTAGGTGGTGGTGTAGCCGCATTGGCCTGCCTACAGGCATTAGCCGCTGCCGCAGCAGCTTCAAGTCGATGCTGACTGGTCAGTATGGTCTCCAGGATGCTGGACGAGGGCTGGGGGAAGCGCACATAGGCCATGGCATGATTGCTTTGATTGGTGGGTGGCGCTCCCAACTCCGCCTCATAGTAGGGCTTGCTCAGCGGCACAATGGTGCGGGTTTGGCCTCCCGCCTGGTGCTCCAACACAATCACAGTGCTGGACGCTGGCTGTGTTGTTGTGGTTGCCGCCTGCAGTGGCACCGCCGCTTCCAGGTGCTCTTCTCCGAGGCTTGTGGTGGTAGTTGGCGGACAGGCAGACTCCTCAACTGCTGTGTGCATCTCACGCAGTTCCTCCTCCTCCATGGCTGAGGTGGCACCATGTCCCAGCACCAGCTGTTCCTCTACCACCGTCTCCTTGATGGGCTCTGTCTTCACGCAGCTCTTGTTCTTGAACTCGTACTTAAGCGGCATTTTCACCTTAAACTTGCGATACTCATTCTTATCGCTCTCCACGCTCGTTACAACAACGGCTGGGGCAGCTGCGGGGGGAGTGCTGCTGGGCTTCTGCGCCTGCGCAATGACCGTCTCCTTGGGAGCAATCGCCTTCTTCGAACAGTCGAGCACATAATTGTGCTCGCTTTCGCTATCGCTTGAGTCCTCTGGCGGGGTCAAGACATCCTCCTGGCACTCGTTGCTGTGGTAACCCTCATCGGAACGCACCGAGCGCACGCTGCCGTCCTGCGGCGTCAGCTGATGCTCGTAGTGCGCATCCTTGTTGGAGATGGGCGAACCAGCCGCCTCCTTGCCGCACTCACTGTTCACAGGCGACCGATCCTGGGCCTGGCCCATGATGACCGAAGCATGCTCTTGCTTCAGCTGTAGAACGCTACTCTGGTGCAGTGCCTGATGGCGGCCATGCTGGATGTGCGGGTGATGCGTAGTGCTGGTCGTGCTGGTGGTGGTGGAAACATGCGTGGGTGGACTGCCGCGTCGACAGCACTGAGTGGTACTGGAGGCATTCGGCGCCGTTGCTGCTCCCGCGCTGCCACCCACGACAGGCAGATGTAACCCCATGACGTACGTGATGTGACTGACAGCCACCTCGGCTGGAATCTCGGGCGCAGGCATGCAGTAACTGGCCTTCTTGTGCGGAGGCAACTCATCGTCCTCATCCTCCTCGGCATCCTGCTTGCAAGCGCCGAAAATAGTACGCTCCGGATCCACATCGTAGCCGAGACGACTGGCAAAATCCTTGCAGTACCAGACCATTAGCTCCTCGTTGGGCAGAATGTCGCGGGTGGTGTAGAAGTAGATGTTCTCCTGGTGCTGGCAGGCAACCAGATTCATCACCGATAGACTGTAGGCGGAGGCCACATAACGCATCCAGTTCGACTGCGAGCGATCAGAGCCATCCAGATAATAGTAGTCATCGTCCTTGAAGATCTGTGAGGTGCGAGAAGAACGAAAGCAAAGGGCTTGGTACTTGACTATGTCTCGCAGATTAAGGAAATAACGGTTAACAATAACAACAACAACAACAGCAGTTACAACAAAGCTACGTGGGGAGAGACAGGCGTGTTTTGTAAATAGTGGAGTGTGCAAGTGGGGGAGAATAGTGGAATAGTGGATGCATTTGAAAAGACAGATGAAAAGTGCCTAAGACTAACAACTTTTCCGCGCTCTTCGATTTCTCAACACGATCGAAGAGTGCAGAGAAGAGCTGCCATTCAATGCCTTCGCCTAGAACTCAGCTCAAAAGTAAATTTGTAGAAAATTAGTATTAAGTTCCAGGGCAGCAATGCCGGAAGATTCTAGACATATACCATGAGAAATAAGTAGATGGTTCGTCTTACAAAGCGGTTGCCTTTTTGTTGTATTTCCAGAATTTTCGATCTCTCACACTTTTACTTTTAAGCTGAGTACTGAGCTCTTAAGTTTAGATATTAAGATTATTTAGGGAAGAGTTAGTAAGTCACAAATAAAACAAAGCATAAAAAGTGGTACCTTAATATTCCCGTAGGTTATGTGGCGTGTTCCCTGCACCTGATTAACGTTCAGATTATGTTCAAAAATGCAAAATTCAATTTTGAATTTCAACGAGAGATTTGTGGTGGTTGTTTGTTGATTGTGTTTTGGGGTTTAGGTTGTAATTATTTTTTATTTTTGGTTTTTTTGAGGGTATTCACATGAAATTAAAAAATTAAGAAAAAGCATTTGTTTAGTAAATCAGTAATCAGTTTGTTTGGTTAATCACATGGGATAGAAATGATGATGCATGATGTGAGGATAATGCTCTGTGGCCCCATTAGCGTAGCGCAATGCAAATTGATAATGCCAGCCCATGAATCAAATATTATATGAGTATACTTGTATGTATATTTAGGTTCGATTGTGATGCTTACCCGCCAAAAATAGCGCGCCTTATTCTTATCATTTGGATAGTTTGAGGTTGGAATGCCTTCGAATGGGCCAAAGCGTGTGCCACGCGGTATGACGCCGCTGCTCCAAACTCCTTCAGTCTGCAAAGAAAGATATTGAAGGTATTAGGGATTTTTATTAGGAGTTTCTCAGGCAGGAGCTCACCTTAACATTTGGCGTTGAGTAGACCATCGATGATTTGAGCGTGAGGCTGCGCGGCAGCGTTTTATCCGCTCGATTTGGCAGTCCACGCTCGCATTGAACGTCCGGCACAAGATACACGGCCAGGCGTTCAAAGTCCTCCTCACGCATGCGTGTCACATCGTAGTCCTGTGTGCCGTCGGGTGAGGCGCTGCGACTGCGCTGTGATCGCTGGGGAGAGGTCGACCGCGGCGGCGGGGGAGGCGGTGCGCAACGACGCGACAACTTGGCGTGTGTGGGTTGGTAGGTGTGTGGATGTTGCTGTTGCTGTTGTTGTTGGTGCTGCAGATGTTGCTGATGATGCAAGTGTTGCTGATGTTGCTGATGCGGTGACAATTGTTGCTGCTGCTGCTGCTGATGCTGATGATGATTGGCAATGGCTGTTGTTTGCTGTTGCTGCTGCTGCTGGTGTTGCTGCTGTTGGTGTTGATGTTGCTGCTGCTGATTGGTCGCTGCCTTCATGTTGACGTAATCGGGGCGCGCTGCTGCCAGCGTAGCTGATTGTTGCCGCACTTGTTGATGATGTTGTCCATGCATTTTTTTACCACAGCTTATTGTTTGCTCTAAGTCCTAAAATTAAGTTGCTTGTTGCTCCACTCTATAATGTTGCTTAGGCTGCTAGTTGTTGGTTTTTCAGTTTTACTTGATCTGCAAAATAGTATAGAAAGAGAGATGCTTTAATAATCAAATTTGCTGTTGTTGTTTTAAAGTTAGGCGCCTTGCACTTCATTTTGTAACTAAGCAGCCCTTCAGCAGCATTGTGCCCGCCCCTGGTCTAGCTTTTAGCAATTGCTGCTATTTATAACTGCGTCAGTGAAACGCACACCCCTACATGCATAAATATTATGGACACTCGCATGCAAAGCTCTCTTCAAGCCAATGCACTCAAACATTGCACTCAAAATTTGTTCTGTATATGTGTGTGTGTGTGTGTGTGTGTTGTGTGTGTGTATTTGTGTTTGTGCAGTGTTGCATTTGCTTGTCGAAAAACGGTTTCAATGGCGTCGCTGTTATCGGCAAAATAGCGGCAAAAAGCGAGCAAGTTCGTGCCGCACTCGGCCCGGCTCTACGAGTATATATCTATGCATGTGTGTGCGTGTGTGTGTGTGTGCGTGTGTTATGTGTTTGTATAGTTCAAGATTGCGGCCTTAATGGAGGTTACGTTCATGTTCATGGCCCCGCCTGCCCATTCATTTCACTCGGAAGGGGGTAAGTAGGGCGTTCGAAATACTGCCATAGGTGCGAGCGAGTGCAAGAACAATCCAAATATGTACGCATATACTGTACAGACACAATTTGAATATATGTGGAACATATTTAATATATATTTTATAGAATGCATTAATCGCAGTCTTAACTTCTTATGCTCACCAGTCATGCCAAAAAAAATTCATTTTATATTGTTGATGTGGGCGTGAAATTAATTAGCTTGTACTTTCGTTATCAACGCGTTTGCATTTGATTAAAAAAATATAACTATTATTGTATAATAATGATAATAACTTTTGTTTCTTCTTCGCAATTTGAATATATATATATATATAAATATGTATATATCTTTTTCTTTTTTTTTGGGCTGCGCTCTCGCACTCTGTATTGCTTTTGTTGGGGCCGCTGCACAAATTACGCATCACTTTCCTTTTCAATAGAGACGATGATTCTCGTTGAATTTTTCATTTTTTTTTTTTTTTTTTTTTTTTTGTTCGCTTCGATAGGTTACGCATACGCCGCGTTTGCCGCCAGCAGCTTTACACGGCGTTTGCTAATCGCGTCACTGCTATGCGCACTTTTTGCATAATTTTTAAATATGTTTGTATAGTTTAAAATTTGTTTTTCCTTTTCCTACTCCTCATGTATATTGACAGGCTTTTGCTTTGCCGCTGCCTCTGGCGGCGACTAAACGAACCGAACAACGAAGACGACAACGACGACAACGACAACAACCGACCGTGCCGCATACTCAAATGCACTGAGTTGGCGGTAGCAGCAACGTTGATTTTTGTCTTCCCGTTGGATTTGTGCAAAATTATTTCACACACAAACACACACACACACGCACACACTCGTATACTCGTAACAAAGTTCTACTAAATAATATGAACGACAAGTGTAAAGCGCTCAAAAACGCAACTATGCGGAAATGTACGAAAACGTTTAGAATAAATGTTTCTCCAACACAGTTAAATGCACAAAAACACACGCACACACATGCAAGGGATTTTCTACTACTGACCCACATAAAGTACCAAAGCTCACTCAGCTGCACCAACACACACGCACACACACACACACACAGCTACCACTGCACTCACGCAGTCACTCACTCGATTGCTCGCTCGCTCGCTGCACTCAGCCGCATGCAAATTCTCACTCAAGTTCGCAATATTCTTGGGGGTTGCGCTTTTGAGTGCTTTCCTCTAGAGATTCGATGACATGCGTTGCCAAAAGCTTATGTCTGCCTTCGAGTTTTTTCGGTTGCATTGCTTCAGCCAATTGTTCGGGTGGTTACTGGGACTGTTGGTGGTATTTTAATGCCACTGCACAATCCGGAATTAATTGTGTTAGGGCCAACAAATAAATAATGGATGACAAGTGTCGGTCGCTGAGAGAAACAAATTGAGTTGACAGAACACAGCCAAATGGCCAAATGTAAAATGCGCAGTTATTGAGATTTGAGTTTGCAAAAACAGGGCTACTGAAAGAGTAGGCAGCGAAGTTGGCCTGCAATTACTGATATACTAAATGTATATCACAGCTAGCCGAAGGTCAAATAATATTCTCCACCGGGTCGGGGCGTTAATTAGATATTATTGTAATTTGATGAGATTACTCCTTCTTAGGCTTTTCTAGCTTATAAGATGCTTTTTATAATTTTTATATATTTTCCTCCTATGTCGACAGTCAATGTTTCTTAACATAAATAAATAGATAACGATAATCATTTAATTGATTACGTCACTTTTAGTTACAATTACAAATTAGATAAAAGGTGGGAAGGAACTTATCATTAAAGCTGCAAAGAACTAACTTAAGTTTACCCCTTTTTTAGGGCATATTTTCGTATTGGAATAAAATAATGCACATGAGAAATTATCACCAAATTCAAAGTGTGTTCAAAATGCTTTTATTTGAACACTTGGCTTAACAATTCTTTACTTTATTTCCCATTTGAATAATTTTATTCAAAAGATCAACTTGTGTCTGAATTTTTAGGTCTTCTGTTCGTATTACATATGTATATATGCGGTTTATATTTATAAGCTTTACAACAAAGTGAAGTTTTGACATGTAAATAGCCCGTAAACTCGTTTAAATGCTGTTCATACTCGTATTTGACACACAATTATGTAAATATTTCGTTTTAAATGCCAGCAAAATTCCTAAAATGAAAGGAACAGAATTAACATACTCTGTAATGGCTAAAATAAGCTTTCAGTTTCGGAATTTGAGTGAAAGGGAAAATTGTAAACATTTAAAATTAAGTGCACCCCCATCCACAGTCGACTTAAAAATTCATAAATAATTCAAATAACTAGCAATCCAGGAATAATAAAGATGTTCTTGGCATAGTCTTACTATACTCTGAAAATTCGAATGCTGTAGAGGAACTCACCTAAGTGTCGTAATGGCCATATGCTTGGCATATACATAGAATACCCGATGTATGCTATAATATTGCGCCAACTTTTTAAGTAAAAACTTCACAAAATTGAACTAGAAACTCTTTTATAGATATGGCAATGTGGATATATGTGTGTACATATATTTATCAGTAAGTACTGTGGGCGATCGAACTGAACGGCTGGCGGTAAATCTGTGAAAAATCTGTGAACTACACGCACGTAGAATGCGAACTGTGAGCGCTGGCAGCATAAATGAGAACTTTCTGCCCAGACGCTAGCGGCGGTGGCAATGGCGGCAACAACACGGATGCAACACACACTCAGATAAATAGTTGTAAGCATACGAGTATGTGCATGTGGGTGTGTGCTGTTGTTGCACTTGCACTTGCAATGCACTTCTGTTTTATACTATTTTTTTTTTTTTTTTTTTTTTTGATGAGTGCGGAAATGTGCGAAAAGAAAATCTTAAATCGAAATCTATTTGGCTAGCCGTTAGATATGTTTCAATATGTGAGTGTGTGTGTCTATGTGCAACAACAGTTGGCGCCGTCAAATATGCAGACATTGCTTACAGATAGACAGACAGACAGAGAGACAGAGAGACAGCGGCAACCACTTTTTATTTTTGGTACTTTCGATTTTTTGCCTTCGCCACAAAAACTTGGCACTGCTGGCAAGCAGAGACAGGAAAGGGTTTATAATCATGCAAATATACTATACTATATAGTATTCTATCGGTTGCTGTGAGGAACTTTCGCTAACAAACGACGCATATATGCCAAATGAAGATTGATAGAACATACAACAGATGCGAATTCTGAGTATAAGGAAGTCGAAATGCATACGAACTGTGAAAAATAAACAACGAAATCTGTATGCCTCTGTGTGTGTGTGTGTGAGTGTGCGTGTGTGTGTCTGACGATAGCGCGCCAAAAAGCTTTGTGCACTATCGCTGCAAAAATGAAAATAAACAGCTGCACACACACACACACACATACTTACAATTATCGCCGCTGCATAGGCATACAAGCGAGAGGAAGAGAGAGAGGGAGAGAGAGAGAGGGAGAGAGAAATTGCACATTAGAAACAAAAAGTAAAAAAGCTTTGCGTTTCTAATCATCGCACAATTGCATTTGAAGGACACACATCGATAACTGAGATGGTGTAATTGAAGGGGTTGTAGAGCGGCGTGTGGGGAGTGGGGAGGTGGTGCGAGGCGTTTGACGGCGGGAGTAAGCGCTTGGGCGAGACATTTGCTAAAAGTGGCGCGGCAAATTAAAAATAAATATCACGAGCATACACACAAGTGTGTGGCTTCTCTCTCTCTGTGTGTGTGTGCTTAATTTAAATGTCTGGCTGCACACAACCACAACACTAATAACAATAACAACAATATGCTAACATTAAAATAAAAAGAGTGCGAGGGGGGGAGAAAACAAAAGCGTTTACAAATTGTCGCGCCCGCCATATTTTAACATTCAACTTGAACGCTGACGACCCACCGACCAAGCCAGCGAGCAATGCCTCCACAGCACCGCCAGCCCACCCCCTTGCCCCCACTTCGCAGCTGAGACGTCTTCGCGTTGACGTCGTCGTTGTTGTTCTCGCTGTCGCAGTCATCGTTGAGTGCATTTGATAAGCTTTAATTTTATTTTTTGCTTTTCCACCACATTGCTCATACGCCACGTTTTCCCATTCCAATTCCCATGCCCAGTTAGCTGCAATACGTTTCATTTCGTTTGGATTGCAGCTACAATATTTCTAATATGACTTTTGAATTTTATATTATTGTTTTAGACTCACTCACAATAAATTATAAAATTAATTCAAACACAGTGATCAAAGGTTTGGCTTCTAATTTTTGAATTTTAATTTCTTCTATTTGGAGCCATTGCCTGCAATTAATGGCTGAAAAAGTACTAAAACTTTATATTAAATTTCTATTTCAAAATATGAATAAATTAATAATAAATTAGTAAAGCTGTTTAAGAATATCTTTAGACTCGCTCTGTAAATTTTCCAGCC